TTACCATATTTTTATCTGGCAGCAATGATATGTATGTTCACATACAGCGATGCTCACTCTTTCTTCTATAACTGCATGTGTGTGATTGATTTGGCCTGAGGAGGGTCTGATTCATTCTCAGCGCTGGGCACATATGGTACAGGCTTCATTACACCCCCTTGGGTCAATGAGAACTCCACGCAATCATTCCTGTGCAGATCCAGGGGAGTCCCAGAGCCGAGCTAAAACACAGATCACCCTTCCCCCCGGGCCTCAGCCCACGGGCTACCTTCATTACAGACCAGCCGCTGCATGACAGCAAGCGGAGGAGGGGTGCGAGTGTGTGTGGTTTTTTTATTTTTTTTATTTCCGTTTGAGGAGGTGCCCCTGTGCTCACCCAAGGACGAACTTAGCCCATGAGGTCCCCAGTGACCAGAGACTCTATTGTTTGTCAGAGTGTCTGTGCGTGGTCATTGCATATATGACCGGGTAAGAGGGCGTGTGTGTGTGGGGGTGTGTGTGTGGGGGTGTGTGTGTGTGTGTGAGCACATACAAAGGACAATCCTTTTCCATGGCACACTTGCTATGAAATTTAATCTGGCAGATTGGATCCATGATGGGAAGGAGGTACCAGTAATTGTGTTTAATGAAAGCACATCCCAGCTTGACTGAGCCGGGCCAATATTCTGAGACCACCGCCGACTCTTTTTACAGTGATTTCCGAGCCTTCCCACTCACGAGTGTCGAAGTATGACTTTGTATGACTTAAAGTGCTATGGGCGCCCTGCACACACAGACAGAAAGGCAGGCTGGGAAAAAAACATGCAAACCAACACACACATGCTCAGTCTGATTCCACTAGAAGCGTTTGTTTTTCTACCAAAACAACAGGAGCACTTTGCTGAACTCCCCACTGCTCATTCAGCGGTGTTTGTGTCTGAGACTGAAAATAGGCAATGCAACAGAGGTCTATAAATAACTTCCTGTGTGTCACACATTTTCAGAACTATTTGACAGATTTGTTTTTAGGCTATTGATCTAAAAACAGCCAATAACTGATCAAACTTCGTGCAAGTGACATCACAAGTGTTAACTCTCCAGAGAATAAGAAACTAAGAGGAAAAATCAAAGATGCCATCTCCTGTCTCCTCCTCCTCCTACCCTGGATCTATTCCGCCCTTGCGATGTATATTTCATACCTTCATTTAAATTTTGAGACTGTTGATGATTGCCAATGTGCGAGATATTTTCACAACCATGAATTAACAAAATACATTTTTCAGGCACAGTAAACTATTTGTATTTCCTGGGCTGTAAACTCAGGAATTACATGCTCGTCTTAACTGGCTCCAGAGAGGGGAGTGACTCATGATAATATAGGGATTTACGGATGATATAATATCGTTTGATCAAATCTTCTTAGAGTCTTTGTAGAATGTAAAAACGTTAACTTGTTCTGCAGAAACTAGTCTCCTGGCTTTAAACTCCAGCCCACAGAAAGCCTGTGTTATGTGACAAACCTGTGATGAGATTAGTACCAGCTTCAAAAGGAAAATATTAAAATTATATCTGATGGCAGATGGTTTCTGTTCGTTTGTTTACCCATCGGGCCGCCGCTCTGTCTGAGGTGTGAGAGAGACAAAGGGTTAACACCTTCCTGCCTGCTACCATCTGTAGCCCTCCTCTCTCTCCGAGTCCTGAATAGGCTAGCCTACACAAGCCTAAGCCGCACAAATTAAAAACGCATGACAGGTTTGCACAATGCTAATTGACTCATCCCTTGAAATGAACCCAGAAGAAATGCTGCTTCACTGAACTGAATCAGTGAACACAGTTACAGTGATTATGATTATAATATGCACTGTATCAGTTATTACAGACAAGGCCAAATGGCTCTGGTCGACTTTCTTGCCAAACAACATTGTTGTTCCCGTGGGATTTAGATAACTACCAGTAGCTTTCTTCATATTACAATTACATGTCCAAATATACAGCAAAACAAAGCCCATATAGAGCCTATACTGCTACAGTGTTTAACTGGCCACAGGAAGGCTGTGGTACTGGTACTGGCTACAGAACAAAAAGGTGTTAGATAACTGTAAATTAATGTACACATTTGTGACATTATTTCAATTTATGAATGGTTATTTATGATTTTTTACAACTAAATAACTTAAATAGAAAATTTTGATAAGGATACCTCAAATTTGGTTATTAAATGATTTGTGACCATATGTACCAAAGCGGGACATTCAACATTAGAGAAATAAACTTCTCAGTGCCCTCTGGTGGTTAAGCTATAATACCATTTCTAAATGTCCTTAATGTAACTTTAGCATTCCTCTTGTGCAACTTTTTACATACATATCGAACAACATACAGCCAACACCAATATATCCTCGCTAAGCTAAAATCTGCTAATGATCTCAGCCGGACACATAGATCAGTCGAGCTCTAACAGCTAGCCTCTCGCCGCATTCATAAAGTGAATGCTACTTAATGGGACATGAGATTTGAGCTGGTAGGTGACACAGCTGCTGGGAAAGCAACCCAGCCGGACAGACAAGATGCAAGTTTTCACTAAAATATTAATTATCCTGGTTGGCCAGATGACTATAGCCGATGAGCTCTTAAATGTGCAGTGTGGACAAAGTGGAACAACAACAATAGAGGACCTATTACTGAGCAGAATATATGTATTGGTGGAGTGGTCTGCTTTTTGCCAGTGAAGGCAGTGATGACCCATATAGCACCTGCAGACAGTCTAATTAAGTGCGGCTCTTCCTGCCTAAATGTTTCAATCTTTTTCTTTCTGTTTTGCTAGTAATTAACTAATTATTTATTTCCCCAACGAGGACCGGGGCAGAGGAGGAGATGAATCAATGCAAACATAAACAAGCGCGATGTCTTCTAAAGGCATCTCACAGCCTCCATGTAGACACTCCTCTCTCCATCCCGACAACACATGAAAACACCGTGTGTACCTGTGAGGAGCCGAAGCTGGCTTTAACCCTGGTGCTGAGCTCATCCTGCGTGATCTGGCTGTGGTTGTGCCTGTTGTAGAGCAGGCGGAGAGGCACCGTGTCCTCCTTCCCGACGAACCTGCCTGCATCACGAAGAGCCTTCAAGCTCGACAAGGCGTCTCCTGCACAGAGAGGAAAACACCGATTTCATTGCCCGCCTGTCCCCTCCGTGCGGAAAAATCAGTAGTGATACAGAGACACATTCATTATAAAGACTGCCGTCTGAAATGTCGATTTGTCCTATTTCCTTTGATAACATGAAACAGCTATGGGCTGCGTGCATATTTTAAATTTGGATCATGAAGTAGCCGAAGCTATGATTTAAAAATGAAAAAAAAAAAAAAAAAAAAAAAAAAAAAAAAAAAAAAAAAAAAAAAAAAAAACCACAGGCCTATTAATGATGATTTAACGCTTTGTTTGCGCATTTATGTAATATCCAAAATAGTATCAGTTACCATTAGGGCTGCTCTGGTGACCGACGCGCATCAGTCCATAGACGCACAAAAGGGAAATCCACCATCGCGGGCTCATCATCAGCATCATCACCTTTCTCTCTCTGGTTGGAAATTATAAAACAATGCGGTATTCCAGGAGCAGGCTCTCGGGGTCCTGCCTTCGCTAGGAGAGTTTGGAGCCGGGGCTGGTCGTCTGGTTAACGCAGTCCCTTTGGTGGGGGGCCATCGGGGTACCTACGAGTCTGAACGCCGAACTCGTCTGAGCGCACCGAGACCCCGCGGATCGGCAGCACGGAGGAGGCAGGGAGGAGAGAGTGAGAGGGAGGGAGGGAGGGAGGGATGGAGGAGAGGAGAGGACTGGGGACACCTCCTTAAAACACATCAATATCCAGCGGCTCACTGCAGAAACGCCTAATGCATAAATATGAGCGCAGGCAGGATGGAGAAAAGCTGCGGGCCCGGCCTTCCGCCGACTGGATGGACTGAGATGATATCAAAGCCCGCCTCCTCCTCCGCGTCCCTCCATGTTAAATTACTGCAGGAGCGCCATTCCTGCCCAATTCTGCCTGTTATTATCACCATGAGTCACTCCATCATCTGCCAGGGCTCCAGGAGACAAGTTATAATAACGGGGAAATGAGATGTGATGAGGATGCTTGGAACTGGGGCGCTTTTTGTTTTTGTGGATGTTTTATTAAATCAAATACACGTAATTGTTTTTCTTTGATTTGGGCTGCAACAGCACAATACCTGCCTTTTGCCTCCTGTGATATTTTCCTGTTTTGCAAAAACCAAAAACAACAAACAGGAATATGTATGAAAAATCATGACTGGTCAAATAACTGGGTGAGATATTTGTCATCATGTAAGGACTTCTCATGCTTATTATTTTTGGACGTTTTCCCTCTTGTACAATTTGTTCCTTTGTCCACTTTGAAACTGTTGACACACAGCAGCATCAACAAAATCAAAAATGTTGCTGTAAAACCAGTGTCTATGGAAGTCTGAATCAGACACTTGACCTGGTGTGGATTGCCCCAGAGTCACACAGCAACGTGAGTGAATTTCAACATGATTGTTCACCCAAGGAGCTGACATGGCTCTGCGGCAAGAGTCCAAACAATCTGGCACTATAATGTGACATCAAGTCTGAAGATTTTAGAGACTTAATAATGGGTTGAAAACAGCCACTCTACGTTCAAGGGACACTCACATTGCAAGTTAAGTTTGAATGTTCGCCATGCGTGGGTTTTCTCACTATAGTTTAAAGTCATGTAACGACTGGAAACTCTAAATTTGTACTGTGGATATAGACATTTGAGCAAATGGTTGTCTATGTGTGTTATACATGTATAGGATCCAGCACATGCAACCATGCAAAAGGTAAGTGGTTAGAGTTAAAGGATCAATATTTAATGTGTGTATGTTTATAGTTTAAGGAATGGCACATGGAGCAAGTCTAAAGAAGTTTTTGCACTATAATCATAAAGCACAGTGTGAGCGGGTCATCATCTGTATAAGAGCTGCACAAATGACGATAATGTCCGCATTCAGCATTGCCTTTATTTGCAGAGTGCTTGTACCTCAGAACAGACTGTTGCTCATGTCTTTTTCTTAATGTCAGTGGCACAGAGACTCCCATTTGACCCAGTGCATTTATTTGAGAGCAGCAAGGGAGAACAAGGGCTCTATGCTAATGCTCTAAATGCAGGGAAAAAGGGAGAAGATGAGCTAATCCATCAGAAAAAGCACATGATGCCAGGTTATGAAAAGTACACTAAAGAAGAATCCTAAAATGTCACCTATAATGTCATGTACCACACGTCCAACCTACAGGTCATTCACATTAAAATACATATATAACCAATATATGTATAACATACAACCAGTATATGTATTTTACAATACAAATACAATCAGTTCCCCAAGTCTGGGAAGATTCAATCTTCTTTCTCCAAATGACTGTATAAAATGTTACCATTGGAGCTTTAGTTTTCCCTCTGACATACTTGAAAATGAACATTCGGTATTTTGTCGGCATTTCTGTAGAGACTGTGAACTATGAAAATAATATATATATATATATTCACTCACTAATATATCATATATCTTCTAGTGGAAATGAAGAGTATTCAACCCTGACATTTTACACTTTTGTTAAAAAACAAACAAAAAAAAAACATTTGTTTGGTCATTTCTGGTTTAAGAATCAAATAAATTTGTGTTCTCTGTCTTACATTAAGTTCTATTATTACTTTGTGATGGGTGATGAGTGTTAGCTACAACTCAATATCAAGACAGATGTTACGATCTTGGGAATATTATAGTTCTGCATACATCTCTTCAATTTCCAGTCCATTTTAATAGCTCCTTGTGTTGAGTTTAGAATACAAATGCCAAATAAATGTAATGAATACACTTGTGTATTGTGCAAGTTATGTGCAAAATGATAAAAGCCAAACATTTTACAGCCACAGTAAAGATAATTATAACGTTGACATGAGACATTTAACTTCTTTTCAACAGTATACATCTTATACAATGCTGTAAACAAAATGTTACAACACGTCAGCAGCTGCTTTTCTGATATTAAATAAAGGGGGAAAAAATATGCATTTTTACCCCCTGAGTCAAAATAAGCCAGTGTAGATCATTTCGTAATCAGTTGGCTTGCTAGTCCGTGACAATCAAAGTGGTATCGTTCTAGTATTGAAAAAGGCAACAATGGTCCAGTTAATCCCTTCAGTTCATTTGTTCTTTCTTAGTCTTCAAATCCACGAAACTCCGAGCCCATGTCATCACTTGACTGGAAAAGCTCCCAAAGCATGGAGTTGTAAGGAGCATCACTTGGCTTTACATGTTCAACGTGTGTGTCTACTTTCCGTCTTTTCCGTTTATAAACTCGGATCCTTCTCTGTATTTTCCGGGCTGGAGAGAAGCTTGGTGCAAGAAGACTTCCCTCTTTATTTTCTGCAAGGTTGTTTCCAGGCATTACGTTTCCTTTCTGACCAGCCTCAAACAGTAAGGAATCCTTGTTCTTGACAGACTCCTCTTGTTCATTTGTCACAACATTTAGGCTTTTTGGGGAATCATTCTGTGCATTGATATTATGGAAGAGTGAGGTGGAGCTGTTCTTGTCTCTGTGAGATATTTGGTCCACCGAGTCGACCTGAGCAACTCTGGAGGGAAAAGAGATGAGACATTCACCTCTAGAGGGGGCTGTTTCCATCTCGGGCTGAGGAATTTGAGCCCGCTCAGCTTTTTCAGTGCAAGAATTCTGTCTGGGATTCTGTCTGCACGGCCTTTTACATGCAAGAGATTTGTGCTTGGATCTGTCTGAGTGAGTGTAGCAGCTCCTCCTGTCTCCCTCTCTGTGAGTCTGACAAGCAGAACCAGGAACTGATGCGATTTTTAAAGGTTGTCCTGAATAAGATCCCACACTGACAGTCTGATGCTGGACCTCTTTAATAGTCTCTGTGGTATTAAGATCTCCCTTGTGTCTTAGCTCAGTTTTCCCACATGGTCCAGGAGCAACCAGAACAGAGGAAACACTGCACTTTGGTCTAATGGGAATAAAAAAAACTGTGTTAACTATAATGGAACAGAAAGATAAAAGATCTGGATAAGACAAAAACAATGATAAGAGAGATTCTTGTTCTTGCAAACATGTAATGTTGCTGGGTGTTTTAAAGGAATAGGGAAACGTTACCTTTTAACTTTAGTTTTGGTGTGGATGAAGTTGCAGTGAAGCATTGAAACCTGTCTGTCCACCACCAGGTACTCGTCACTCTTGGAGAAGGCCTTGTGACGTTCACTCTGTAGATGCTGAAAAAAAATGTACTCAGTTAAATTATTGATACGGCTGTCCAGTGGAGGACACAATTTCCACTATTGCAGAAGCAACTAAATACAAATAAATCGTCTTGTGTAGGCTTCTGCTACATAATAAAATGTTTCCAGAGAATAAAGAGCCTGATAGACCATTACTGAGGTTAGACTGAATCAGACAACAATCACTGTGAACACTGTTCACCAGGCTCAGCTTGTGTCATACTCAAGTAGATAATAATGATAGACAACCTTTGTGCCTTTTTTGTTTTTTTTTGCAAGATTGATTTGTTTGGCCCAGTTTACCATTCAAACATTTAAACCATTAATCAAACATCTATTGTTTGTAACTGTTAATTGTACTAGATCCAAATTAAAGTTGTGGTATATTAACTGTCCTGTCCAGTATTTTTGAAACAAATTTAAGGTTTATAAAAAAGGACTAACAAACAACAAGCCTTTTAGTTTCATTGTTTAAAATGACAGAATCTGATACACGTATGCACCGTTACCATACATTACTCTGTCAGTCATTGTATTGTATTTACAAATGTGAAAACTTACCGTGATGAGGTTTTCATATTTGATCATACAGCACTCGCAGTAGCCACCTCGCTTCTTGTCTTTGTTCTTCTTTCGGCCGTGAGCTCTCTCCTCAGTGGCTGAGGCCTTCCCACCTCTGGTACCCAAGGAACACAGGAGTGGAACAAATATAATCAAACTAAGACGAAAATTGTTGTTTGGTAAATTTTCATTCAGTCCTGACGAGCAACCCCATGGATTTTTGAGTGGCTCCAGAGGTACAATCTCAAATCATGCAGATGAGCACTCTTCAAAACCACAGAACTTTCAGCTCTACACAAGATCCCAAAGTTTCAAAACATAGCAAATATATCACCTTAAATAAAGGACATTTTTTAGTAGTTAATTTGTTACCTAGTTAGTTAATCAATTAGTTACTCATTTAGTTAGTCAGTTGGTTAGTAATTTTAATACGTGGATATTTGTCTATGGGGTTCAACATACAGTATAATTAAGGATTAAGAGCAGGACATTAACAAATAGCACATTTTTAACAGAGACAGATGTAGTCACAAAACATCACTGCAAAATACAAAAGAAGCTGGATGCTAAATTAAATTTGTTACTAAGATACTAATTTTAAAGTTCCATGGGGGAAATTTAAGGGGAATAAATAAGAAGATAAGAAAATAAGAAAGAGTTTTTAAAAAGATCTGCTCCTTATGAAAGTGTGACATACTGTACGGTCCACATCTTAAATTAGCTAAGAGTAATCCAGAGAAGAAAACATCAAACCTGTGTCCTTGCTGTTTGTTCCCAGGAGGATCCTTGTCCTCGACACAGAAGGGACTACAAGGTGGAACAGCCTTCAGGTTGAACTCAGGTATGTTTGGCATTGTGAGGTAGATTGGACGGTAGTGTCTGAGGAAGGGAAAAGAAACACTTTATAGTGCACAGAGGTAAACAAGACAGTAGGTGGATGTCACCTTTTTTTTTTTTTAAACTACTGTATTTTACCTGCTTGAATCCTCAACCTTGACAAAGGGTTTACTGATTCGCCCACCTGGAAAAAACATCATATATGGTCCATTTCAATTTGAGTGTGTATTTACAGTGCATCAAGAACAGCAGCCTACATTTCAAGCTAAAAATAAAACATTGACTGAGTAATAACCACATCAGCTCAGAAAACATGTTTATTCCTGGAGAAGACATTTACCTTTGCATCTCTGAAAGCCTTGCTTTGCTGCTGACTGAGCTTTGACCTATAAAGAATGACATTAAAAAGTACTTAAAAATGTAACTTAACCAATCATGCTTATGACATTAATCCCAAAAATATGATTCCATTTCTGCAAATGATACATTTGAGATTTTAAACCTATGAACTTACGCTTGCTTTGACAGCAGTGGTCCTAGGACATTGGACGCTGTTCTTTTTTCTCTTCTGCACATACGCTATAACATCTGCAATTGTACAGTAAGTCAAAGCAAAATTAGCTACCATTTCATGTACATCATAATTTCAAATTATGTAACTATAGATAGATGTTAATGGTTCATGTAATGTAACAAAAACTGACGTAACCTCTACAACATACCGTCTATGTAGAGGATTTTCACACCCCACTCCAGAGCATTTGACAGAATCTTGTTCATTTGTACCCTCTCCTAAAACAAACAAGTGTCTATTAGCCCAGAAAAGAAAAGAGGTAATTAAAGTTCCTTTGTAAACTCATTAGTGTTGACTTAACAAACCTGCTCTTTCACCACTCTCTCCACCAAAGACTTCCCTCGACTTGTGACAAACTGCAAAACATCAACAAATAATCAAAATTAAAGATGTTGAAGAGTGCTGGGAAGACGTGAGACACAATGTAAAAGCATATCTTTCTTTATCTTGAGGTGAAGCATATGAAACAATGACAGACATGCAATAGATGTGGCAACAGAGAAAGTGAACTCACTGTGTCTGCTTGACCCTGAGACCTGTTTTTAATGTTGTCCCCATGGCTGCCAGGACGGTGTGGGTTTGAACGAGGGTGAGGTGAACTCGGTCCAGAGTCCGGGCTAGGGACAGGAGTGTCCTGCCGGAGGCACTGTACATATTTGGCCTCCCTCTTGTTGGACACCAGATACTTAATTTCCTTACTGAAGAACTTCTCAACAGTCTGAGAGACAGACAAGGGAAAGACAGGATAACATTTTTGGGAAAGCTTTAACACCTTTATAACAGTCTCTTCCAGAAAAACAACTGCAGCGCAGAGTATGTTGACAGTGTCTTACAGGGCTCAGTACACAACCTATAAACCTAAATACAATTTTGGTACTAACCAAAACATGTCCATAGCACAGAGTATTGAAAACTGTCAAGCAGCAAAGGCTGGCATTGAATGTCCTAGTCAGATTCATCTTGGGTTTTTTTTAAGTCTGATATTTTCTGATTTAAATCTACATTTCGCCAATTTAAGCCTATTCTATCCAGGCCAGAGTTCTTGCCTGTATTTTGTTTGTTGTTTCGTTTGTTACTGTTTAATGTAATGTTTATTGTTAGTTAGTCTGTATAGAAAATTCATAATCTAGTATCACCACAAAAACAAAAGCATAGCATTTGCACTTATGTTGAAAAACATCAAACAACACCCATCCCTTGTGTCTTATTGTAATCATCATAAATAGTATCATAATGGAGATGAAGACTCAGCATAGTTCAAGGGCTAACTGGTGAAAGTCTATGATAATATCATATGGACAAAAAAAGATGTGGGTCTATATCAAATGCAGGATATTGTGAGCAAAAAACATGACATTATGTGTTTTGAATAAATCTGTAACGCTAACTAAATAGCTTGTGTAATCGTGGCAAAATGAAGTTGACACAAGATAAATGACAGTAAAGCTTTCTGACAGTCAAAAAGGAACCAAATCTGTTTTTGTCTCACCCCTCCCAGTTCTTTGATGTCACTCTCCAGTGTCTCTGCTGTTCTATTTGATGGCAGGTCCAGGTAAAATACTCTCCCAGTAAAAGGTTTGCTTTGAGTAGAAGACGACACACGCGACGTTGGCTTAGCTTGGCTCAGTGTTGTCTTGTCCCCAGTGTTGACGCCTTTTCCTAAAAGACAATCATTAAAGTCACACAGAGAGAGATAACTCATCAACAACACAGGAATCTATTAATTTTACTGACAGAATGATCAGTCATTTATTTGGTCAAATATGAAACTTTTAATGGTTACACCTAAAAATAGAGTTGCTCAGACCAGCTTGTTTTATAATCATTATCAACTATGTATGTTTTTAGCTGCTGGTCAAACTAAGCAACCTTAAAAACTTAATGAACTGGTCCACCCTCTTTTAGCATCTCTTGTCTATTCTCATGCTATGTAAAAGGCCTTGAGTTTTGCCTCTTGTGTTCATTAGTCTGCCCTGTTTCCAGGTCTTCACGGTCCTGCCAGTGCTTGGCAGCACCTTAAGTAGCATTTTTATATTTTTCCTACAGCTTATAAAACTTAATAGTATATGTTGTGTACTTTATTTACCTACTGTTACAATTCTGTTTCTCAGTAGTTGTAGAGTTGTAACTCAGCTATCTGTATCTACAGTATCTACTGCATGTCTGAAGAGTCATCTCTCTTGTTAAAAAGGTTTTTATCTCAAGTTTTTCTTTATTCAAATCAAGGGTTGTGCAGACTTACAGCCTGGTAATAACCGTCAATTAGCTTAAGTCTACGTTTAAAATTTAACGAGAAAACAAGAAAACAAACTTTGGTAGTAAAAAACGCTACCATAATAAGATAATGAACAATAACTTTACCTTGCCAAGTGGGTGCTCTGTGCCTCTGAATGCGTTTTGGCTTCATATTATTCTCTTTCATTGAGAACAAATATTTTTCTTTCCCGTCTAGTTTGAGTCAACGTGCCCCAGGAAGTCAGTGCTTGTCCCGTAGGTGTAACAAAGAAACTGTTATTTCGAAGAAGACAGAGAGTGAAACAAGATCGCGTCTGATTAGTCGTAAGACAAAAAAGTAACGTTAGCTGAGACTGTTCTCGCTGTTAGGTTAAACTGTGGGTAACAGTTAAACACCGATAACGTACGTTCACAGTGTCAGTCCCCGAGCGGACAGACAGCTCTGTCGGTTAGCTGCTTTGCTTACGTTACACTGTTTAGTAAGCTTAAGTCAATAAACGTCTCTTGGGCTATGGAGGCATGTTTGTTACCACAGACTATCCACTGGCCAACCGTTTTATAACTGTTTAGCCAGTTGGACTAAACTCTTAAGATCACAAAACCTCCCTTTCCTTTCCCGCTTTAAATCCAATGGTGGAGGAAGTCTGTGTTGCCATGTTTGACACTTTCCGGCCACGGCCAATTTACTCTAAACGGCTAACATTTGAATTAATAATGTATTTATAAAATTCCTGGAAGAGATCCTTTCTGTCTTTGATTAAATAAACTCTAGTATTAACATTTCCGCAAAACTGAGAGGTCTGTGCTTTTTGCAGAAATTCTTCTAACCTGGCAACAATGGAAATAAGTAAACACACCCTTTGTGTTTGAATGTGATGTTTCCATATCATTCTAACGTAAAATAAAATGGATAGCTACATTTAAAAACCTATCGAGAAATTGTTTTATTTACAACAATATTGTATGTTCTATATGTGTGTGTTTTCATATAGGTTCTTTCATTTAATGCAAAATAAAAAAAAAATCAGGAATGTCTAAGAAAGTGCTTCACTGAAATCAATATTACACAACACATGTTATCATCATCATGTATTGTTTGCTGTGTAAACTGAGCTAGCTGGGGTTACAACCCCCTCAACATACACACGTGTTGAAGCTCTTCTTCACTGTTAGGTCCTGTATGACAGCAGTAAGTCGCGCACTGTTAGGAATCTAAAAACCCTTGAGGGATGTGCGTGTTCATGGAAGACTTCTTGGATGCTGAGAAGCTTTAGTAGGTAAGAAGTTGGCTAAGCTAATTAGCTAATTCAGGTTAGCTTGATAGCTCTCTTCATCAAGTAATGTTACGGCTCTTGTGATAACAACTATGTCGACGTTTCTATGGCCACTAAGTAAAACAAATTCTTGTGTACATGAAAATTAGAATACTTATTAAAGCAGGTCTGATGTTGAGATTTCTCCTTGTGTTTCATGAAGACATGAGTGGTCAAAGTTCTACTCCTGGAGTCAGTAATGGCATCACTCCGCTCCAGCAGATGGTGGCGTCCTGCTCCGGAGCCATCCTCACATCTCTGTTTGGTAAGACGCCCAGACTTAGCATCTGTTACGTTGTCCTTTATAGAAGACGGGTGTTTGGCTCTTGTCTAGTTCATGTGCTGCAACATTATACTGCTGACCGTTTCTCATCATACATCATTGTTTTTCAGTTGTTTTCTACTCTGTTGAGAACATCGACACACACATACACACCAACTTCTAAAGGACTTGCAATTAGATTGAACTTAATGGTTATTTTGGATCCGGTAGTTAGTGATATTTTTGAATTGTTGTGCACTACATTGAGAAGTGTGTCAGACACATATTGGTGTAGTCCAGTAATTCTTAACAGCACCACAAATTACAGCCTCCAAAATGACCATACAGTCGACTCAACACTACTCTAAAACATTTTAATTGTATATGAAGGCAGTATATCTTGCAAAGCTCAACAAGTTTTAACAAGGTGTACATAATAGACTGTCAAATGAGTGCACTGGCAATCCATTACAGACTGAATGCGTGTTTACTTTCTGATATGCTGGTGGGAAGCACAAAAATATTAGACTTGAGAGGCAACTGACAAACAATAAACTATTCTGGGCTATTATAACACATAAGATGAACAATAAGCAAGCATGGATGTGGTGAAACTGATATGTTAATGTGGTAGGCTCTTGTTTTAGATTAGTTGCTGCTGTTTTATTGAACTCTCACAAAACAAAAAATGACCTGATGTTCACAGTGATATCTGACAAATCTGGATCAAGTTTTACTTCATAAAATGTTTGATAGTAATGTGATAGCCCTTTAAATGCGATGCTAGTGTTTTCAAATTAACTGGCATAGTGCAGTAACAGTGTAAATACATGTACAACAATTAGTGCATTGTATTTTGGTGGAACTGCCATATTTAAAAGTCTCATAGTGAGTTTTTGCATTTTTCAGTTACACCTTTGGATGTTGTGAAGATCAGACTTCAAGCACAGAAGAGTCCCTTCCCCAAAGGTATAATGAATATGGGTACGACTTACATCGTTCTAGTGTTATGTTTCATATGATTCCACAGTACGGTAAACATTAGGTGACCACATACATGTTTTCAATATTTAGGTAAATGCTTTGTCTACTGTAATGGACTCATGGACCACTTATGTGTGTGTGAAAACGGCAACTCCAAGGCCTGGTACAAAGCACCCGGTCACTTCAATGGCACACTGGTAAAAACTTTGACATACCTTTAGCTTGTAATCCATTCACTGTTCACTACTGTATTATATAAAAGTTTAGAGTCTGCAGTTCCCTGTCGCATTTGTTTTAGTGGGTGATAGAGCCCATTCTTGTGTGTGTGTAAAGCAGGTCTGCACAGTCATGTTATGATAGAAAACCTCTGCCTGCCAAACAACACATCTTGCTGCACTGACTACACTGTGAATCTCTGCAGGATGCCTTTGTCAAGATTGTACGCCGAGAGGGAATAAAGGCTTTATGGAGCGGTCTACCCCCAACCCTGTGAGTGTGAAGTCTTCTGTGTGTGTTTTCTCCCTTGTTGCACTCTCCTCTTAAAGACGAGTGATGCAGTTGATTGGCATGCGGTTAATTGACGGTCAATTAGTCTGATGCTGAACTCATTAAGGATGCTTTCTTTTGAAGTTGTACCAATTAATGGCAAACCACCTATGGTTGAGACTTTTGTTAAGTGTTATCATAATGGAATCCCCTTTAATAAATCATGTTCCTTAATATATTGGTGTTGCTTTGGTGGCTCACATCTTGCCTGCCTGAAATAATTTGTAAGGAAACATGATTTTGTGTTTAATTCCATATGTGCTGTCTCTAGTGTGATGGCGGTTCCAGCTACAGTGATCTACTTCACGTGCTACGACCAGCTGTGTGCAGCGCTCAGGGTCAGGATGGGCACCTGGGCTGAGGAGGCTCCTCTCCTGGCAGGAGCTATCGCTAGAGGTGAGCTGTGCTGGTGTCCCATCACTGAAGACAAGAGGACAGAATTACAGTTTGACAGTTTGACAGTTGCAAACTTTAACACCAATTAAGATTGTTTACATTTAGTTATTGTTTACAGAACGGCACGTTTTGATTAAATAAAAATGTACCGTGTGGAAATTCATCTTTTCAGTCATTAGCATCAGAGTATGAGTTCATCTCAGCATCGTTCACTCAAAGCAGTTTTAATAATGTTGGTGGTTTAATTACCTGAATAATTTCCAAGGGCAACCACCCATACTTTTCGCCCCCTACACCCCTGGGTATCTGTAATTTCTTCCGACGGTAGATTTCATTTTGAAAATGTGTGAGATATTGTGACCCAGACTGGCTGACTTTGAATCTCTTTTTAATAACTGCCTGTAAGCGGTTATTAAAAACAGAATAAAAAAGCTCTGTTGGCGACGTGTTAATAATTTCATTAGTGGTACACTACATTTTCAAATAAAATGATCCACCAAACTGAAAAATGGCTTTCAGTGATGATAAAGCTTTTTTCACTGTGAATGTCATTGTTATCTGGTGCCTTTTAAATTGTATATTCTTTGTTTGCCCGTTTCTGTCGAGCACATAGGAGAGGTTTGTATTTTTTTTTTAACATTTCATCTCCACTTCGTCTTCGTCCTGTGCGTGTCAGTGGGTTCGGCGACAGTGATCAGCCCTCTGGAGCTGATCCGCACCAAGCTGCAGTCCCAGAAACAGTCGTACAGGGAGCTGACTGACTGCATCCGCTCAGCAGTGGAGACAGAGGGCTGGCTGTCTCTGTGGCGAGGTTTGGGACCCACGCTGCTCCGAGACGTGCCCTTCTCAGCCATGTACTGGTACAACTACGAGAAGGGCAAGAGCTTGCTGTGTGAGCACTACAACACCAGAGAACCCACATTCACCATCACCTTCATATCTGGAGCTGCGTCTGGCTCTGTAAGTGCATCAGCAAACAGAACTTGACAGAAACTATCACAGTTCACACGTTTAACTCTAATCTGCTGTTTTGTTCATTCATATTTCCGTTTGTTTCAGATTGCGTCCATTGTAACATTACCTTTTGATGTTGTCAAAACGAGAAGGCAGGTGGAGCTGGGAGAGCTACAAGCAAAGAATTGTAATTATGGCATTAATTCTTTATTGTCATTTTAACTAGTAAATAGTTGTGAAGGAATTAAAATGTTCTACATCAGTGAAATCCAACCAGGAGTGCATGTCTGCAGTTGCCAGGGGATATTTTGAAATTTTTTAAAAGTAGTAATTTTACATTCACATATTTGTGTCTAGGAGGAAAATCAACACATAAATAGAATTACAATTTGGTGTCAGGCAGAGTCATTGCACACGGAGAACCATAAGCTACCACCTACAATAAGATGACTGCACAACACACAACACACCTCCCACCTGTAACATCCAGTTCGAAGCAGAAACTGAACTCAACAGCTGAAATTAACATATTTGGAACATGACAGGTGAAACTGATGAGGGTTAGCATGAGCTCATCTGACAGAGCCGTGTGGTATGTCAGCGGAAAAAAAAAGGTTGGGAACCACTGATCTACAAACACTGTAACTATATCCTTTGTGGTCAGATGACAAATGGAGTTAATGGGTTGACTGGTGTCCTTGTCTTGTCAGTATCATGTCAGGTCTCATCCTCCACCTTCAGTGTGATGAGCAGGATTGTGGCACAGTACGGCTTTGGCGGTCTGTTTGCAGGTAGACACTTTTGTGGTATTTTTTTAATTATAGTTGTATTTTACTAAATGGTATGTTAACATCTTCTCTTATCTGCCATCTCTCTCTGCCAGGTTTCCTCCCCAGGCTGATCAAAGTGGCCCCGGCCTGTGCCATCATGATCAGCACTTATGAGTTTGGGAAGGCCTTTTTCCGCAAACACAACCAGGAGAGCATACTCAGGCCGCTGCAGACCAGCAACACCTGAACGTTTTCCAATCACTTCTCTTCAAACTGAATACCACTTTGACCAATGCAAGAGGACATCTGGACAGAGGAAGCTAATGTTGCCAAAAAAAAAAAAAGACAAGCAGACAGGGGGAGTGGAAAAATAGATAAAATAGCTTGACCCGTCTCTGCATGACAAATTATAGATGATCAAAATGTATATTAAATTATTTTTAAATTAATATTCTATAGTTTTATGTTCACTTCTTTAAATCCTATGCGCACAACTGAAAAGAAAAATATTTGTCCATCTGTTAAGTGTTCAAATCACATGATGTTAGATGCATTTAACAGCCAGCAGATGGCAGCCACAGTTTTGTTGATAATATGAAAGTTCCCACATCACTGGCTGTATCGCTGGGATCATGTGCACTGAGCCTGAAGTCCTTACAGTAGAAATAAGATTAATCTAAATTTTATTCCTCTGTGTGTCAGTGTTTCTCCCCACTCCAAGAGAGGATGTCCATGTTTTTGCACTTCCACTCCAAACCTCTGTCACCTAAGTCAGTCTAGTGCCATTACATTACGAGTGTCAAGTGTTGTGTATTTTTTTTCAGTTTGACCGGAGACTGCAGAAGAGGACTGTGATAAAATGCAAATATGCATACCCTTTGGAAATGATTTTCATTCACTGACTTTGTTAAAGCTTTATCACCAAACCTGTTCATTGTGTACAAGACACTCATATCAATAGCAAAACTTTCACTGTTTTAGCAAGTGGAGTTTATTCAAAATGAAGCATAAAAAGGCAAACAAATCAGTAAAACATCTGCTGTATGTCTGTGCAAATGACTGCTGGAACGAGCTAAAGGCAAAGTCATGAGTTCAGTGCTGAGGTACTTGGCTAGTCGCCAATAATACAAATTACTTAATACTGATACACTTGATTCTGATTCTCAGAATATCTCTTGAAAGATATTCATTAGTGAGACTTAACACAGGTCATTATTCAGAGTTTAAAGAATGATCTATTTGTGTTAACCAGCCATTAAAGTAAAAATACTGCATTTGAATAATTAAAGGGAATAATAACAGTAGTCCAAAGCTAAACCCAGAACTGAAGGGTGGATATTAATCATAGTGGTCATTACCTGAGAACAAACCACGTGATACTGCATTACGCACAACATTTGACAACATAAAAATCAAAAAGGCGCAGGAACATTTACACCTGAGAACAAAATGTGAGACTACATTATGCCAAACACCAGTGTGAAGATACAACACCATCATGAATCAAAGGAATGAGTGGATTTTTTTTTTTTTTTTGGAATGAAGTGGCAGCAGTAACCGCACAGAGGATATTAAAGGACCCTTTTGACCGCAGGAAACTATTCGTAGTGAGAAATGAGATCAAACACTGACAGACTTGTACTATTTTATGTTTTCTCCTAAACTGATCTGATAGTCAGTATTTTCAGCATGCAGTAAAACCACCTTAGAGAGTCGTGAAGACACACTAGCTCATCATCGTCTTCTCAATACTGTAAAGTCACATGGTAATTCATACATAAACTTTCTATTATTTTAATTCGTTTTCAAGAAAAAAAAACAAAATGCTCCACAAGTAGAAACACCTACAAAACAAAACAACAAAGAAACACATACTGATGAATCTTATGAAGCTTACTAGATCCTCTGTACTAAGCCAGACTTTGAGCACTGTTTCAACTCAAAGGTAAATTTTTAAGACTATTATTCAGTCACAATTCAAAGAACATGCTACACCAGATTCTCAACTTGCAAATCTGTCATCCATCTGTTAAAGCTCTGGGCTCCACATACAGAACATAAACTTGTACAAATCAATATCATCTACTGAGAGAAAGTTCCTGGATTGTCTGGCCTGTCTTTTAGCTCTCCACTCCCTATGACGGAGTGATGCCTGGGCTGCTGATCTCCGTTGCAGGACTGGCCAAACACTCGCTAGACTTCAGGCTGGCCAGAGACTTGTAGCTGGCGACGGAGGTCAGGGAGCCACACAGACCTCTTAGGGAAGGAGTTTCCTCTTTATCTGAATGAGATGGCACACGTGGTTAGTACTCAAATCTTCCTGACAGCAGTGCACACTTGCAGGAGGAGCTGTACCTTGGTGAGGCCACTGTGTGCCGGTCGGCCTGGCCTCCAGACTCAGTGTGTGTGACGGTTCAAGAGAAGTCTGGGAGAGGCTCATGTCTGCAGACAGCTGCTCCAGACTCTGGAAGCTCTTCCTGCCAAGAGAGGATAGAAGTTACGCAAGTGACTGTTGATGACAAGAACAAAGACTGAATCAGCAGCGAGTTTTATAATTGATTCATAAATTAAAGTCAGTAATGATGTAATAATCAGCAGCAGCATCATACACAACCAAACTAAATTTGGAAAGCTAGCGGAATGCGAACTCCTCTACATACTCATCCCACTGTCCCGTGCTCTTCCTGTACAGCAGTGTGTCCAAAGCAACAGCATTGGCATCCAAGGCGTCAGGAGACGGCCACTGATTGGTCAGATGAGCTGTCAACTCCTGTCTGGACCGCAAATCATTGTTCTTCAGCACTGTCCTAAAAACAATAGTCAGTGTCCAGACTAGAAACAATTTACTGACTAAAATAAATTCTTCAAATATAAGTAGCAGTGATATATAGCAGAAATATAAGCTGCACAGATGAGATGAGATAAGACACAAGTAACATAAAAAGATTTAGATGAGAAAGGGTTTTCTCACTGATTTCAAATTCAAATTTCTGGAAAGACACACTGCTGATGGAGCATTTCTTCTTGGCTAAAAGCAGCACTGAGTGTGACTGATTCAACAACACACAAACAACAAACCAGCAGGAACCTCCAGTGTCTTGCTGTGTCCTGAATGTCAAATTCACAGCTGGATCCGCTGCCAAGTCCTCTCCACCTCATCGTCACAACCTCACATGCACTCGTCGACAAACACACAAACACACACACACACACACACACACACACACACACACACACACAGAGAGGAGAATGAACTCACAGTTGATCCTGTAGTTCCAGTATGATGTACTCAAGCTGTTCCTTCTCCAGTGTGTGGGAGAGGTGTGTGTCTGCTAGGTTCTGCTGAAGAGCTTTATTGTGAGACACCGCCTCCGACAGCTGGGCTTCTCGTAGACGGACCAGCTCTTCCAGGTAACCCTGAGGTAAACAAACACACAAACACACACTCTCTGTTTTTCACTTGTTTGTTTAATGCTGGGAAGGCACTGCTTTGTGAACAAACAGCTAAATTCTTTGTTTTCGCTCAAAGCAAATGAAACAACCACAGAGCGCAGAGCTGGAGCCACACAGGAAAGACACATTGCAGATATTTATATAAGAAATAACATCAAGCTGAATGTGTGTTTGGGTCAAAATCACTCTACACAGGACTTAGCTCCTGCTGGCATTTTACAGTTCAAGCCTCTAATTATTATACAGACATCAAAGGAAATGTCACACCGGCATATATTACCATCCAATTTATTTATAAAGAAATAACACTCATATTAAAACACACTTGGGCGATACCTTCTGCTCCAGTGCCAAGCGATACTTCTGCTCAAAGCGTTTGCACTTGCTGACCAAGTTGCTCTGCTCGGTGAAGATGGAGGCGGCGGTGGCCGTTTTGTCGGGGGTGCTGCTCTCACTGCCGCTGCTCCCCATAGTCCTCATCTCCTCCTCGTCACTGCTGATGCTGTCTGCACTGCAAAAGGAACCACGGCGTGCCTCATGTTAGTACAAATCCTATACAGCAGGGGCAGCGGGCTAAATATCCCCAGAGCATTTCATAGTTAAAACTAGCTACAGGATTTTTCACAAATGTGCTGTAGAAAGCAATGATGACACAAGGCTCATGTAAATCCCAATAAATCTTTGTAAAAAAAAAACTTTGTAACATCTAATACCGCACCCACTTGAGGAGACTCAGGCTATTTGACCAGTGCACGGTGCTAAAATGAAGTCTAATAAACTTACGAGATAAATAACATGGGTAAATAATATAATTCAGCCTATCTGACCGGAACAGATTTGTCTCTGCAATGGTCTTTTCATTCAGTCATATCTCCAGTATCTTTACAGTGCAACACAAAACATTATGTTGATGTTTACATGTACATTTTTGCCAAATAAAGATTATCACAAACCACAGAAACTCTGACATCTGCCCACAGATACAACACTAAAACTGTTTTATAAATAAATGATTCTTAAATGAAACAGAAATAAACGAAACATAACAAAAACATATGAGAATGCATTTCCACCCTGCCTGCAATGCTGCTTTCACTGAACAGTGCTACAAAAAAAAAAAAACTGGCTGAACGTAATTGCTGACCCCTGCTAAACAGTTCACTGATGATGACGTGTGTAACGGGCGTTATTTGACCTGACATACTTCTGAGTGAACTTCAGGTAAGGCGTGTAGTCAATCACGGCGGGGCAGCTGCCGTCCAGACCGTCCCCTTTCAGACAGAAGCTTAAGAGAGAAGACAGAATGGAAAAATCTAAATATTATACGCCTATCATTTTACAGTATAAGGCTACATATACGAAATGTAGCAAAGGACTTGTAAAGGCATGTAGTGTAACTCTGAAGGTCTTCTGGTGTCCTCCCTCAGTTATCTACTTCTTGCTTTTACAACTTCAATGATTGGTTTAACCCTGTGGAGTCCGTCTGTGACCACTGTTTTATTGACAGTTCCATAACTTTATATATCATGAAGAGACAAGCTGAGGAAATCAGTTGAAAGTGCTGTTGTGGGACTTTCATACACAGAGCCTGAATTGTTAACATTTTCCATGATTTCCATGATTTATAATTTTAGTGAAAAGTGCACAAAAATTAGTTGGAATAAAATCCCTTTAATTGTAAATAGACTACTATATGTATTGTACTTTAATTTCTTACATATTTCTGCTTTATTAGTGTGTACAAATAGTAAAACAATCATTTTTACAACCTTGAGCCGTTCTATAATAATATTTCGATTGATTATGACTATGACTTCGTGGCAATTTATAATTTGTCATACTTACAGCGGAGTTTGTGCTGAAAAGAAGATACAATGCATGTGGGCTAGGGACAGTTTAGGGACTGAGCACCAAACAGCAGAACATGATCCAGGATTAGTACCTGAAGTCGATGGTGTTGAGTCCGATGAGCGTGTCCGCTAAAAGCCCCGCCTCCTCTCCCAGCATGATCGCTCCATCCTCGTAAAACCTCCTAGAGGCAACACATGTGCACACGTTATTGGCATGAATTCAGCTCACACCACTCTAGATTTAGTCAACTGACTGACTGTAAGATGTTATAACTGACGGCCTGAGGTCAAACATAAAAGAAGGATTAAATTAACCTGTAGCACACCGCCATTGGAGAGAGACCCTTCATAAATACACTTGCTCTGATAAACCGTCTGTGGGATGGTAATACACCCTTGGTTGAGGGGGAAATGTATGTATTAAGAGCACTACATTAAGACCTGGTGGTTTTGAAGTCCCTCAGTGCAGATGAGATGTATTCTGACAGTCTTTTCTCCATCAGGACCACTCTGATCCATGCCCTGCCCTGCAGACAGAGGAAGAAAACATCCAGCTGTTTGTAGAAGCTTATATCATACACTATACACAATAACAAAAGTAAGAGTCTACACAAAATAAGTGAAAAGTTTGGCCTGCTGGTGGCGCTACAAGAAAAATTGGGATCAGCAGAGTCAGTAGGATTCCTCCCCTGAAAACAATGAATGTCTGAAAAAAGTCTCATGGCAATCCATCAATGGCATTATGCGCTATGTATCAAAGGCCATAAATGCCTTGACTTAATGGCAGTTAATGACATGTCTTGTACAAATCGTTAAACCCCTTTTTTTCAAACTTTACTTAAAACTTCAGAGAGTCATTTGTAAGCTCAGCAGGTCTCATGACTGAAACCTCTACACAATGTGCTGAAAAGCTAATGTCATAATTTCAAAATTGCCTTTCTGTTTTAAATACAAAGCTGCTGATTTCTCTGAGTTCATGACCCGAGAAAGTGTGTGAGACAGTGAGTACTGTTCTCACCTACAGCCTGTCTGCAGAACAATGTTAACTCCAGTTGTTTGTTCTCTTGCCCGCAGGGTAAGACTGAGTCACATTGTTTGAGCATGTGTGTTATTAACTTTTTCTTTTTTGACTGTTTTCCCTTTGTTCTTTTTCTGAGAGGATAATGCAAAGTAAGCTAAAGTAACAAATGTCTGATTCTGCATTGTGTGTGCTGTAGGTCAGGATACATTTGGGCTCAAAGCAGAGGATGTAGTGCTTTGTATACAAAACTGATGTTGCTTATATCAATTTTTGGCTAAATTTGCTAAATTAACAAATGCTAAATTTTGTATTTATCAAATGTAGTCTCTGCAGTTGTTTAAGTGATCCAAGTTCTTTTGTTCCCTGCTGCATGAGGTAATTCAATTAAGTTATTAAAAAGGTATTAAATCTGATGCTCTTCAACCCAATACTCCAGATTGGTTTTAGCCTCACCTTAGCTCTTGACGATCGCACATTCTCCATGCTCTCGATGCTTCGAATGCAATTATGAGGGACTTTACTGCAGGCTGCTTTTATGTAATCCCAGAAACTCCGAGGACTCTCATAGCCGAACCAAGTAGTCTGACCTGAGAGAAAGAGGGACAGAAATAGAGATTTGTACAAGCGTGAATCTGAATTCATACTGTTCACGATTTTAAAAGATGCACAAAGCATCGTTGCCTTTGTTTTACAAAATTAAGAAACAAGTAAATTCATCTACCAAATAAAGACAGAAGAATAATATTGGATTCTGCAGTTTTAATGTTGCTCTTGCTCGTATAAGTTAATTACCTGCTTGTTTGTGGTGACATTTTGGTTTTATGTTTTCATAAACATATCTGCATGCATGCATGTGGGTGAGGAGGAGGTTGTTTTTTTTTTTACCTTTGAGTCGATGATTGAGGATGTGCTCCAGGATGGAGACGAAGTTAATGAACTCTGGAGATGAGTCATCTATTGTCTCAAAACAGGAGCGGTCCAGCAGAGTCTTCACTGAAAACCTGAACATAAATGATGATGTAAACACTGGTATTAAAATCAGTTACTGGACCTGTAGCTTACAGGGGAACTGCACTAATTTTACACATAGAGTATGTAGTAAAAGAGGATGCCAGCAGGAGAGTTGGAAAGACAATTCTAGGCTCAAATAAAAAGATGCCTTGACATGCATCAGGGACTAAAAATTCAGGATATCTCAGCCTCTGCTGCCTTTGATTTTTACCTGTGTTTTTAAAAATCTGTCTCTTGTGAACTACTTTAATTCATGGAAGTACATCAATAGATGACTGGAGTATCCCTTTAAATGCATAAGAGATCGATCACCATTTTTCTACAGTGACACGTAAGTATCTACAGTGATATGCAGCCCAGTACAACAGTCATGTGCACCGACCGACTCGGCTTAATCTGGTTTCAACTAATTAGGCAGGAAGGGGAGTTAATGGACAAGCCTGCAATGTGTGTTGGTGTGTGTGTGTGTGTGGCCTTGTTTTACTATATTTGTGGGGTCCAAAAACCAAGATGCTGGACCTCACAAGTTTAAATTTCTGTTTGAGGATTAAGACTTGGTTTTAGGGTTATGATTAGATTCAGGCTTTGGTTAGAGGTGGGGGAAGGGTTAGGGTTAGGCATTCAGTTGTGATGGCTAAGGTTAGGGTAAGAGGCAAGGAAATGCATTATCTTAATGACAGGTCCCACAAATGTAGTAAGACAAGAGAGTGCATGACAGTGTGTGTGAGTGTGTGTGTGTGTGTGTGTGTGTGTGTGTGTGTGTGCTGGCAAATTGTGTGCAGATCTTAAAGTCAAAATTAAATAATCTGACTTCATATATCACTCTGCTTCTCCATCTCGTTGCTTAGCAGCAGGGTGACCGGAGTGTGTGTGTGCTTGCTGTGAAACAAGCCAAAAACTCACGCATTTCAGCTTGTTTCCATGAGTCAGGGTAATGAACTACATGTTGTTTTTGTCTTAGAAATTACGTCACTGTGAAGATGGTTTTTAACACACGATCGGTCAAACCAATTGATCTTTCTATTGCATCAACTGAATAAAGCAACCGCCTTAGGGTCAGACAGCCTGAGATCCTTAAGGCCTGAAAACATCTTCAATAATGACCACCCACACTGGACCCGTTGCTAGGCAACTGACAACAATAATCGACATCACCTCATTGCCTTTCTAAAAAATAGTGAATGATTTGTTTTCATATCATGCTTATGAATGAGAGAAGTGACAAACTTGTACATTTTAAACTCCATAACAAATGTTTTTTCTCACAGACTCAGTAAACAGGACGCCACTTTATGGCATCAATATTTCAGCTGATTTGATTTCATCTGAGGATAGGCCTCTATCACTGAGGACATTTTGACATGTCACAGCAGGAAAAGCACAGGTGTAAATAATAAAATTAATGAATGATTGCTGAATGCCATTTACTGGGACACCTTGACCTTTCCTACTATGATAACTCGAAATAACTGATGTGAAAACAGCCAGTTGTGTAGATGTGTGCAAACTGTGCTCACTTCTCGCTTTATCATGTTTCTTTCAGAAAATCATGTGCTTGAATAGATATTATTACAAATCCTCTTAGAGAGCATTGATCCATGTTGATGCTCTTCTCTTTTGCCTTTAGCAGCCAGTACTTTTTTTTTTCCTGAGTTCATTCTGAATCTGTATGTTCGTTTTGCCAATTGCCCTTTACTCCCAGATTTAAAATCACAATGAGAACTTAAAGTTTTTACTACAGAAGTAAAACAGTGGTTTAAACAACAACAAAAAAACAACAACAACTCAACCACAAACAACAAATCTATGCTTACATACTGTATTCACACTTAAAGTCAAACACTATAACACACTATCATGTCGGTGTTTACACAGTCATAGAAAACACATATACACACACATAGACACATGTAGGAGATCTGTCCTGTTGTTTTTATCCTGATTCTGTTTTGTCAACTCCTTTGTTTGGATGTGTTAACCTCGATTTTAAAGTCTTGAGTTAAACCAGTGACAAGCTGCAAATTAGTGTCAGCTAGACGCCCTACATACACTACATCTGTTACTGCTAATTTGTATGTAACACTGTTTATCTGTATGGCCCCTGTCAAATAAACAAACAAATAAATAAACAACAACAAAAGCCTTTTACCACTGAAATTTTTTTAAGTTTCCTTTGTGTGGAGAGGAAGAGGAAGACGCTGACTTTCCTGTTCAACAAGATCGTGGCGACTAACATCAAGTCAGATCAATATCTATTTATATAGCCCAATATCAAAAATCACTAATTTGTCTCATGGAGCTTTTACAATCTGTACAGCAAACAATACACTCTGTCCTTACACCCTCAATTTGGTTATGGACACACAAAATAAAATCCTTGGAGAAACCTCAGGAAGAGCCAGCATCATGGCATCACATGAATAACCTCTATCCTCCATTAGCACCGTGAGCTTGATGACGTCAGCTAATTCCCAGTACAGCTCTGCTCAGTGTCAACTTCAGAGGAGGTGTAATCAGCCAGAGTAAGTGAAAACACCTACGTGGGTGTGCAGTGTATTAACATACCGAGATATAGACCTTTAATGGAACCCTTTAAAGCAACACTGGAGGTAAATGTTGGCTAATGGTTGAGAAAAAGGCAAAAAATAAAATTGCAGAAATACTGCAACAAAACCTTTAAACATCTTTGAGAACTGTGTCTTAAAACATCGGAAGTCGTGCAGAAGTATGTCAGGCAAACCACCAGCACATCTCACAGAGTGTTATGTGGTGTGTTGTGAAATGTCTCAGAAACATTTATCACAGCATCAGAGGAAGTAAAGATACTTCTATGACCAAAGACACGCTTGGACTTGGACTGCTGCAGAAAGCGAAAATCGTTTAAAATTTGTCATTCACTAAAACATTCCTCAGTATAATGAGGGTGATTCAACTGTTCTATTCATCTTAACTGGTGCAGCAGAGTGTGTCCCAGACTTCTGACTGACAGTGTATACAAAAATAGCAACAGTGATGTTTGTATTCTCGGTTAGAGCAAACACTAAAACCTGCAGGGTTTATGATGAAGTACGAAGCTGCTCTCTTCAGTCACAGCTCCTCAGTGTTAAATGTAAATAATGAAATTACTTTTCTTAATGTATTTTGACCCCTTCTGGATCTCATCAGCCAAAACAGAACAGAGCTTCTAGAGAATATGAAAGTAAAAAACAAGTGGCATCTTTTTAATGGCAGATGTGTAGTTGTGTTCAAGGCTGCTACAGCAGCTACAATAACGTCTTGTCTTTCCTCTCACACTCACTTCCAGCAATGATCTGACTGTCATTTCTCTAGCAGCCTGCTGCTGAGCCAGTCAATATGAACTCACACCGCGCAGACAAACATTGTTCAAATCCACTGAACTTTAAATTTTAGTGAAGATCTAGTGAAGTTTCCAATGATCCTGAATAGTTCTTCACATCAGGCCAAATTTGGGGGAAATGTGTATGAAATTGTATGTAAGATGCCCAGAAGTGATCAGCCATAACAAACATGGAAAATATTTCACTCAGTGTTAAACATCACATACAGTTTATATATAAAAGACCTAGAAAAATACAATACAGAAGAGATCAGTTACAAAGGCTGGAAAGTTTTTCCTAGATTAATCATTTTATCTATAAAACACCAGAAAAATAGCATAAAATAATCTAAATTTCCCAGAGCCCATGTCACATTCAAAGTGCTTGTTTTATCCAACCAACAGTCCAAAACTATTTACTATCATATATAAGAAGGAAATGCATCAAATCTTTACATTTGAGAAGCTGGGACCAGAGAATATTTGGTATTTTTATTGAAAAATGAAATGATTAATCAATCATCAAAATAGTTACTGATTAAATTATTGTTTATTTACGAATGGACTAATAATTTTAACTCTAAATTATACTGTTAGACAGTGTGGAACAAGTTCTATTTTAAGGGGCATTAAGAGGGAGAAACTGAATATTTAATCCCATTCGCTTTTCTTAGAGAAATACTGCTGTCTTCAGTCAGTTTGTCAGTTTGCCATCCGTCATCTCTCTCTTTTCTCTCCTCCGCTTGTGCCAATCATTGAGTTGATGGCTGGTGCGGAGGCAGAAAGAGGCGGGAAAGGACCAGACTGGTCAGTAAAGAGTGTTTTTCACTTCACATCTGTTTAAGGTGATGGAAACAGGGAGATGAACACCTCACCACGCTGAAGCCTGAAAACCCTGTTAATGCTGCTTATTTCATCACATGAAATGACTGAGCAGACGGAGCAGGTGGGGAATCATCAGTTTGTTTTTTGATCTGTTACACTTACTTGGTGCTAAAATAGAAAAAAAAAAACCTACACCTCCGTATTTTCCTTTTGCTCTGACCCTTTCTACTTGTCTGTTTCAAACGCACCACAGGGACTGTCAGTCAGTTACTGACATCTGCCAGCAGCACTTAAAGGACCACAAATCAATACTGCAGAGCAGAGAGCTTTCACTTCAGCTGACATAGAAACAAGAAGAAACAGACAGGCCACATGTGTGTACTCAGTTTATCTCTTATAAATGCATTGAGGAATACAGGTCAGGTTTTCAATATTGTTTATGGGAATGTTTGTTGTACATTCTACAAAAACACCCAATTTATGCAGTGATTTTTACACTCCATATCTTTAAATTTGAGTGTGAAAAAACGTTAGTAATTCTCCACTTGAGTTATAGAAGTGCTTTTAGACCAGTGCTAAGACTTACAGAAAATATTATTGCAGTTACATGAACATAAAAATGTGAAAAAAATCATAAATAAAACATTTTACAAAATTGTTTTTGGTGACTGATCCAAAAATGTTAACTGGATTTGGACTCCTGTTCTCAGGATTTTACAAATACTTTAACCCTAATTAATTGAAGGTAATTAAAACTGAAATGTAGTTGCAGGTACGAAAGAGATTGTCTTGAACACACACATGACAATGGAATCTAGCTACCCGAGGTCACCCAGCTAGATATATCATATTTTCATAAACTACACAGAGTGACTTTCTTCTCTGTAAGGATGAAGTCATATTTTTAGTCAAACATGGGGTCGGGGTTGGAGTCATGTTCCCTTTAAAGCTAACCCCAGACAAATGCTTACGTCTGAAATGATCAATTAATAAATCTGCCGTCACAAATTCAGCTGCAGACGCTGCTTCATCCTCCTCGTCATAAAAACAGAAATCAGTGTGAGGAATTCCCACCTGCACACCGTGAGCAGGTTCCTCCTCTCCACCGCGGCGCTCCTGACTGCTCCCCGCTTTCGAATGAGATGCAGCCCCACGCCGAGCGACGCCATCCGTGGCTGCGGCCGGAGGACGGTGCGCTGCAGTCCCGGCTCCGCTCCCTCTGCACTAGGCAGGGCAGGACCAGCCGTCTCCGTCAGCCTGGAGGAGCACACGCTGAACAGCCGGAGGAGGGGTAGGACAGAAGTGTGTGTCAAGTCAGGCACAATGACCAAGTATTAAAGGATTTCCTGGTGGAACTTTCAAAATAAAAGCTCGTATAGTAAGGACTCGCTAAGAATGTCATCCACAATATTAAAACGATAGACCTACTGTTTACTTGTTCATGCATTATCACTGGTCAAAAATAAGTTTTTAATTCACATACCTCTTTTAGGTAGATGCTGCTTATGCTGTTTGTTCTAAAAATCAATTTATGTCAACAGACACTGGTCCACGGCTGGTAGATGTCATTAACATCCTGATATGGTTTTGTGTTATATAAACAGGACTAATAGTTGACACTAAGCACGCTGAGGTCATGTCCTCTGTAGCTTTTAAATTAGGAGTTTTAGGGCCGTAGTGGTTTATTTGTTTATTTCTACATTTATTTATCTCTTTTAATCAAAATCAAATATAATAATTCAGCACTTCCCTGCTGGAATTTATTGCAGTGTAAAAATATCATTCAACAATATCTAAACTCTTAGTTTCTTTTACATGTTCTAATGTGTGCTTCAGCTGGCCTGCTTTTATTTTGAAACTAATTTTGTCCAAGCGGTAATGTAAATAACAAGAGTTGTTACTGTCTCCAGTCATCAGTGTGAGGAGTTAAATAAAGGTGTGTGTAGATGCCCATCATCCATACACAGAAGATGACTCCGGTGTAAATGTTATGCAGGTTTTAGTTTTACTCAGCTGTGAGTAAAAAGCTGATTCATCCAACAAAATGAATGAAAAGACTCTTTCTCTGTTTATCTCCTCTTGACATTTACATTCAAGAGCATTGGTGATATAAACAATTTTTACCATATGAATTACAGGTGTTTTCACATATGTTAATATAGGCTTTGAGTTATAGATTTAAGGAGCATTTACCTCTGTGTTAACAAAACATTAGGCTATAATCAAACGCTTTGCAGCATCATTAAACATCATTCATTATTTTTTGTCGCGTTACATTGTTCATGTCAGTGTAAAACGAGCTGCCTATCGTTACATTTGGGGGTGAGAGTGTTACCTTGTTCCAGCGCTGTGTTTTGATTTTGGTCAGTTGTTGTTTACATTCGCTGTAGACCCTGATTGTGCCTTTTAGATCCCTTTAAATTCAATGAAGTCATCGTGAAGGAGGAGCGCGCCACCCAGTGGTCTCAAATAAAACAGCAGGGTCTGGGTTCACTCCAATATCTATACATATCCATGCATCCTTGACTCCTTCACTTGCATCTCCTACTCCCCACTCCTTACCTAAGCCATCCACAAGCTGAATGAAGGTGGTTGTCATAGTTTGTCATCGGAGTCTGTTCCTGCCATGCAGCTCTGGACCCCTAAGACCCCTGACAAAGTGGTCAGTACATTTAATTTGCTGTCTCTAAGTCCACTTTTAAAGTACCTGTGGGCTACTTAACTTAAAGTATTTGAGTATTTCAACTCCACCACATCTTAAAAGGGAAACATTGTACTTTTCATAATGACAGTTACTTACCTTTCAGATTAAAGATGTTACGAAAATAAACAAACAAAAACATTATAAACTTCTAAAATACAACGGATTGTTAAAGATTACAGTGGTTTCCAACCTTTCTGGCATGTGATACAGAAAAGCATGGACCCTTGTCACGTTTCAGATGGCTGTGGTTTTGGCAGTTCCACCAAAGAGACACTTCACCTCTAAACTACTCAGATGATTTAATTTAAATAATGCTAATAATAAAAAGCTCTGGGTTGCGAACCACCGGACTAAAAAGCCTCATCTCAACCAGGCAGCTACAGAAAGTAAAATGCTACATTCACATTGATGCATCAGTATTAATGTTATATATAATAATATATCATTGCTGCTGATTACATTTTGTATTTTTATTGAAGTAGGATTTTGAAGGACCATGTGTTGTTAGTTCAACATAAGTCCTTCACTGCTAATCAGGCAAAGTAAAGGTGAAAGCCCCTGTGTCGCTTTAAGCTTGGAGCCCCCGATGTCTGAATGAATGTGTGTACACTGCAGTGTAATGCAATACAACAGTTCTGCAAAAATACTTTCTTTCATTGTGAAACTTGTTTATTATTTTTTGTATAGTATAGTTGTTAGTGTTGTCGTGTTTGATTACATTAAATTTCAAGATTCAAAAGTATTTTTGTTTCACTTTTTGGGTCATTCGGTATATAAATAAACATCAAGATTTTGAGGAAAACAAATTTGAGAGACATTCACAAATCTGTCATCTTTTGTTTTATAGCTCTTTTGAAAAAGTTCAGGAAACCAAACCAGGACAGAACAGCGGCGTCTTGTATTCATGTGTCCTGATTAACCCACTGTCTTTGGTCTTATGACCTCAGAAACAGGCAACATGTGCTCTCTGAGTAACGTGAATCAAACCACTTACAAACCACCGGAGTGACAGTTCCCATGACGACACTGTTAAAAGCACCCTTTACAGGAAACACGTGACACAGCTGTACATATGATGACCTTTGCTGAGTTCACACTTATGATGGTCTTACTGTTGAAGATAAGACACACAAAATCACTGTGAGGGAATTTCCAAGCGGGATTCAAAATGAGACACCAGTATTAACATTAGTTACTCTGGAAGGAACGTTTCACAAAGGTATGAGAATGGGAGTAAAATATGACAGGATATGATAGGATAGCAAGATGGAAACGTCTTTATGGTCTTTTATCAATGAGTCACACAATGTCAGAGTTCACCAAGAGATGCAATCACCACGTGACATAACGTAATTGTTGAACAAATAAATTACTTTTGAGGTTTTTAAAATGAGGATCACTTGTTCACTGACGTCTGTGTCTGCTCTATGGTTTCTAGCTGTGGTCTCACCTTTGACTCACACTGAGGTAACATTATGACCTTATGTAAAGTAGCAATTTGACCATTTAACACCTAACGCACAAGATTCAGCAGTAATGTTGACTGTTAAACTCTTTTTGGACATTTTTGTGATCATTTTGGTCTCTGGAGTTTATTAAAACAGAAAACCCTCGATAGTATTTTATAGTTCTGCCTTCAGAAAAACAACATTACATCAACATACAACATCACATTACCTTAATGGACACTAAGTATCGGATTTTATAATATTATCTTCATTAAATTACATTATGACGCTGTCTACAATGTATTGTAGAGGGGATTACAAACATAATTTTTTGTGTGTTATTTCACAGTTGTACACTACACCATCATATCTTGTATCATCATCCTCATTATCCCTGATTGGAGTCATATTGTTTAACTACTGTAATAAGTTTTAAAACTAATAAAAAGACAGAAATAAGATGAATTTCAAATTAATCAAAGGGGTTTCTGATGCACAAATTTGTATTCATTTTTGGACTTCCTCTCTAATCTTAACTTCTTTTTTTTAATAATGAAACACTGGAAAAATTGTGTTTTCTGTTTGAACCACAAATAAATATTTAATGAAACCATATGAGAAGTTTAGAGAGGAAATTTGCTGGAACTGCTTACAACTCAGACATCTATATCATGACAAAGGCCCAAACCAGACTCTGCAAGCCCAGCTCAAGACAGTTGAGATGGCCATCAGTTAATCTAACTCATCTTTTACCCTCAGGCTATAAAAGCTGACCCACCCTCTATCATCTTCTTATCACTCTCCACTAATCAGCAGCTCCATGAGGTAGAGCTAAGATAACCAATTCATTGCTGATCCTGCTGATTTCCATATTGTATTGTTTATTTTGAATACATTTTGTTTGTTAAGTAGCTCTGTCTCTTCAGTGGACTCACTTCCCTGATCCAATGAGGGGTATAAAACAGAGAAAAGTAAAGTAAATATTACTAATAACATTCCTTGACCTAAACCAGCCTGTATTTCTGGTCGCCAAATGAATTTGCCTCCAGATGGAGGCCCACCTGTAGAAACGGGTCAAACCTGTGGATGACCGCACCCCTGGAAGGAAGCTGCCTCTTCACTGTCTGTCACAGTTTCACTGTCTGTCCGTTATACAACAAACATTACAGTGGAGACAAATAGAAAATAATAGGATACGCCTAGTTATCGTGACCCCCCCCCCCCCCGGTATGGGCGGGTGAGCACATTGTAAGAAAGTGTTTGTGCTCAAATAGTATTTCCTTCTAAACTCAACAGGTCAAATCTGCCCCTTCTCTTACCGTTCGTCATATTTCAGTAACAGATTGACAGCGGATTCCCTGCAGCTTGACAGTCTTTTTTTTCTTTTTTCTTTTTTTTTTTACAGTGGTGCCTCTTTGTTGTCATTTTGCATCTGTTTGTGCTGGTGTTCATCCCTTTCTGTCTTTTAACTGAGCTCTATATAAGACTCTGGAAAAACATCAACAGTCATTCCAATCGACTGTCAGCGGTTTGTGTCTGCTAGGACAGAAGAGGGCGATAGTCCTGCTATAGTGTAAAGCCACGTGAGGAGGGGGGAGGAGAGGGAGGAGGAGGAGGAGGAGGGGGAGGGGGAGGAAGGGACGGACTGGACAGCCTCTGCTTCAGGCGTGTGTGTGTGATCTGCGCCTCTGTCAAATCAACAGGACCGGCAGAGTGAGAGGGGAGTGGAGGGACAACAGCAGAGAAACGGTGAGACTTTACCTGGGTTTGAGTCCATTTCTATTTCTATTCTATTTCTATCATATTCACTTTTTAAATGATTCATCTATAGGCCTACCCCTGTATTTCATACCCATGTTTACATTGATGATGCACAAACTAACCACAGAATGAGTCCACGAGCTCTGAATCGCAGGCTGTTTCATTCCACTAGTGATCCTAGCTTATTTTTCCTCTGAGGTTTTATTTGAAAAAGTATATATTTTGTCAGTTGTTTAGATGTTACAGTGAAATGTGAGCAGGTTCTTCTTCCTCTGACAGGACCCAGACATGGATGTGAAGGAAGACATGGAAATGCTGTCCACAGGCAAACAGGAGCAAAATGGGGATTTAAGGTGAACACACTCTTAAGTGCTCTCTTTCTCCAACCAAGTTCAGTTGGTTTGAAGGGTGATTTTAAAACATTATCATTAAGCAACTAAGTACTAAAGTGCAGTTTTGAGGTACTTGTACTTTTTTTCTGCTACTTTCTGTTCTACTACATTTCATAAAGAAGTATTTTTCCTCCACTACTTTTATTTGATAACTGGTTTTCAAATGTCGTTTTATTGTGAAGCACCATTGTGTTTGTCACATGTAACAGGTGTGATACAATTGATGCTGCTTGGTCTTCTGATCCATAATTCAGCTCTCCGTCTCTTCCAAATACACCAGTAATGGTTGCCAGATTTGTTCACGTTCTTTAAACTTGCCCATGAGGACGTATCTGAGCCTGTCCAAATGCAAAGTATCTGTTAGTATCTGAGTACCTTTTAAGAAAAGACCAAAACTACTTGATTCCAGTACTGACTACTTTTGGTACTTTAAGTATATTTGGATTTTAATACATCTCTATTTTTATTTAAGTAAAATATCTGAGTACCTCTTTCACGTGTATCAGTTATTCTCTTGCGAAAAAATGTAGCACTTCGACTTTATATTTGACATCATGCTTTTCGCATATGACTCCTCTAGTGAGAGCAAGAAGAATGGCAAAAAGTCAAGGAAGAAGGAGAAAGAACAAGTAGAGAAGCTCCCCATGGTCGGCCCCATTGCTGTGGTAAGCTCAGTTATCACACTGTGATCTCTTTCTGTCAGAAGCAGGTGTGTGTGTCATTAAATTATTTCCACTGTTTTCCATTGCTGTATAGTGCACCTGAAATGTTGTGTGTGTGTGTGTGTGTGTGTGTGTGTGTGTGTGTGTGTGTGTGTGTGTGTGTGTGTGTGTGTGTGTGTACACAGAACAGAAAACAGGAGGTGTGTTTGAGATTAACCTGAGCTTAACGAGTTAAGACTGATGTTAGTTGTTATGTAAGACTGTAACTGGGATGATTTTACAAGTATAACAGCAAGGTGGGTGTGTGTGTGTGTGTGTGTGTGTGTGTGTGTGTGTGTGTGTGTGTGTGAGTGAGTGTATGTGAAGTAAGAGGGGAAGCGGGGAGAGAGGATGGGAGTGCAGCACATCCTCCTGTTGTTTGTGTGGACTCCACCAGCCCCCTGCTGTGACAATATAATAGCTTCTTAGAGTTTAAAGTTTTTTCCCGTTCTGATTTCATCATTCAAAATTCTTACTCCCAGCAAATTATCAGGTGCATCCACAAGATACAGATGCTGATTTCTGCTGCTCTCTCTTTCCACACTCTCTTTTATGTGAGTGCAGTTCAGGTTCGCCAACAGCTGGGACATCGTGATGATCTTTATTGGGACAGTCATGGCCATGATCAACGGGATAGTGCTTCCTCTCATGTGCATTGTGTTTGGTGACATGACAGACAGCTTTGTGAAGGACTCCATAATGTCCCACATGAACACCAGCAACCCCAGTGAGTTTTCAGTTACAGACACGGGCACACGTTAATTAGGACGACTGACATAAATAATTAAGGAGCAATATAATCCCTTTTAACAATGTATTTTGTTTCCTTGTGTCGTCAGATTTCACCCACCCAATGGTAAACAGCACCCTACAAGAGGACATGAATACGTAAGGCTTTATATGATCAGCATAAACAGAGCAAAATGTTAGATATAAGTCTGTTTTAATGTTTAATGATTTCCAAATAATTTCTCTGTGCTCCAATCATCTATTGCCTTTAACTTCCACCTTATTAGACACATTAGAGACTACAGTTTTCTTCAGGTCGAAGCAGATCAAGTTTTAAAGTCACGTGTGTCACAATCTTTCTCCTCTCCCAGCTTTGCCATCTATTATTCCATCATGGGGGCCGTGGTGCTTGTGGCAGCATACCTGCAGGTGTCCTTCTGGACCCTGGCAGCCGGGCGGCAGGTCAAACGCATCCGGAAGTTGTTTTTCCACCGTATCATGCAGCAGGACATCGGCTGGTTCGATGTCAACGAGACGGGAGAGCTCAACACACGTCTCACAGAGTGGGTAAAAGCGGAACCGCACACGCGCTCGTTCCATTTCGAAACTCATAAATGTTGAAGTACTTTGAGGATCTTTGGTGGATGATGAGTGTTTATATTTGCATTTGTAGTGATGTGTATAAGATCCAAGAGGGTATTGGCGACAAGGCGGGGATGCTGGTCCAGGCCTACACCACCTTCATCGCATCCTTCGTCATCGGCTTCATCAAAGGCTGGAAGCTCACCCTCGTCATCCTGGCTGTCAGTCCTGCGCTGGGCATTTCAGCTGCGCTTTTCAGTAAAGTAAGCTCACGTTGTCTCTGTCCATCTTTCTTGCCTCTCTCTTGCTATCCATATGTTTTGATGTTGGTCACAAGGACACAGGCTTCTGCAGGTGCTCTTGATATAACATCACGTCCTTCTCATCTTAATAGGTGCTGACCTCCTTCACTAGTAAAGAGCAGACTGCATACGCCAAAGCTGGAGCTGTGGCAGAAGAGGTGCTCTCTGCCATCAGGACAGTGTTTGCCTTCAGTGGTCAGGACAGAGAGATCAAGAGGTGTGTACACTGTGTCATATAGCATAATGTGTGTGGGTGTATTTGCACCTGGACTTACACTGCAGCTGTCTACAGTTATCACATTAAAACAGGTTCAGATTCCCTCAAAAGGTGATAAAAATATTCAGTTTTTCAGCCATAGTCTCTCATAAATCTGTGGTTATTATGATAATAATAATAACAATAATAATAATAACAAAGATTTGTGGATCAATAGAACAAATAACAATTGGATGGGGTAAAATATAGTATCTGTAGCTTCTAGATTTGTCAGCTACCTGATAGCTACATCAAATTGCTGGGTTATCCAAATCCAAAGTATTGCCCTAAAATTATAAATAGATGTTGATAATGTAAAACTCTTAAGCAGTATAGTGATAATGAATGTGCTTATTTTCTACTCAACTAAGAAAAAGATCTGTGCAGGGAAAGTAAATATTGTTGTCTGAAGTGATTATAGGCCCATGAAAAAGCACCAACAAAGTCTGCAACTGAATAAAACCCATAAAAAAAAAAATTGAATTAGTGTTTTCTACAGATGCGAACGCAACATTTGTCGTTGCCAAAGGGCCTGTTGTCATGGTAATCAGATTTCAGCTGTACAATATATTTAATCCTAACTTTGCTTTTGTGTGTGTGTGTGTGTATGTGTGTGTGTGTGTGTGTGTGTTTTGTTTTTTGCACCACAGATATCACAAAAACTTGGAGGATGCTAAGAGAATGGGGATAAAGAAGGCCCTCTCTGCTAACATTGCAATGGGCTTCACCTTCTTGATGATCTACCTGTCCTATGCTCTGGCCTTCTGGTACGGCAGTACACTTGTCCTGAGTAAGGAGTACACCATTGGGACTGTGCTCACTGTAAGTAACCCCCCCCCCCCCCAAAAGATAAAGTAGACTGACTAACTAAAGAAGTTTGGTGCAGCTAACACTGATGTGTGTGTGTGTGTGTGTGTGTGTGTGTGTGTGTGTCTTCAGGTGTTCTTCGTTGTGCTTATTGGAGCGTTTACGGTAGGACAGACCTCTCCCAACATCCAGACTTTTGCCAGTGCCCGGGGAGCTGCACATAAAGTGTACAGCATTATTGATCATGTAAGAAATGCAACGCTTTCTAAACAAAGCACCTACATGTCAGCAGAAAATACCACTGATTTTTTTCTTAAATCTCTGCTGCTGGACTGTTGTCAGTTTGTATTACCGAACATGCACCGCTGTACTCTGGCACTCTGGGAAGTCGCTTTGATGCAGCCGACAACCTGGACTCAGTAATGAGATGTTGGATTTTACTCTAATTGGAGCCCCCGCTGCGTGAATGAAGACTGCAGGTCATTTGCTTGATATTGCACAGCTGTGGCTCTCCCCTTCCCGAAATTACTGCGAATCTACTTCCGCTGACTGAATTTGACTCATTTACTGAGAAGTAATCCAAACTTGAGCTATGTGATCATTAATGATGTGAGATTAAAATAGATATGTTTTGAAAATATTGCGCCACTGTCACACACTGTACTATACAGATTCTTCCTTTTCATGGCACTAACATCTGTGTCATTTTAAGTGGTCTATATACAGAAACATGTAGCATAACCAGTTTTGCCTCTAGCTATTCTGGGACAGGCCTGTGTTTAGTTTATAGTGCTCCTGTTAGTACTTCACTAGGACAACATGCTCAATTCAGTTATACTCAAATTATAAACACAGGACAGGATGCTACTAATGACTGACTAACGCACCTGTTTACACATGAACACAAATTACCATTCACACAGCCTTGAGCAAAACTGAAAAAGCATGAACTCTCTTCTCACGGCTCTCTTTAGTTGCTCCTCGCTCCAAGCTCAAAACCGCAGGAGACCTTCGAGGTCATGATTCCTTTTCCTGGTGGACTTAAGATCTTTGGACACCGTGGACACCTCGCTGTACATTATTGTTTTGAACCTATTTATTGTGTCGCTATTTTATGTCTTGCTTTTGTCTTTGATTGTGAATCACTTTGTGTTGTGAAACTTCACTGTCCAGTCTGAAATACTGGAGGGTGAAGCCTCCAAGAGAGACATAAAACAGTCTCACATTCTGCGTCAACACAGAACTCAACCTTTTGTCGGCGGCAAAACAGGAGAGAGAATAACGAACATGTGTGTTTGTGTGTGTGTTAGCGCACCAAGAGAAGCAGTGAAAACACAAAGAGCTGTGGAAATAAACATAGGCCTTGTTGAATACACTCACACTAACCTGGAGGGGCTAACAGCCTTCCTCCCATTGTCTGTTTGAGGTTATGATAAGAATCAGGTCCTTTATCCCACTGTGGCCACACTACAGGCCAGGACGGAGCCGAGTTTTAGAAGTAAGTGAAACATGGTTGACTCTTGTCTCAACAGAAACCGAGCATCGACAGCTATTCGGAGGCCGGCTTCAAGCCTGACTTCATCAGAGGAAACATAGAGTTCAAGAACATTCACTTCAGCTACCCCTCGAGATCAGATATCAAAGTAAGTGCCCCACAGACACCTACAGACATTATATTACATCAGACTGTATGAAAAAACAACCTAATCATGTGTCAGCTGTCATAACTGATATTGTCATCATTTGTAGATATTAAATGACATGTCTCTGAGCGTGAGGAGCGGACAGACCATTGCCTTAGTGGGCAGCAGCGGCTGTGGGAAAAGCACAACGATCCAGCTGCTGCAGAGGTTCTACGATCCTCAGGAAGGATCTGTAAGTGACACTTCTGAAGCACTTCATCCCTAATTAACAGAAAAGATTACTTCACTGGTTTAGCATTACACTCCAATAACACTGATGGACAGTAGCAGTAGCAGTAGCAGCTAATGTCGTCTCATAGTCACTGACCTTAAGCCTTTTAGTTATTTTATAGGAGCAGATATTGCTATAAAGTAAAGGGTCAAGGGGGTGTTGTATCTGTTTCAGCCCATTTACTGTAGGTCATGTACACACTGTGTCAGTGCTGCATAGTTCTCGAAACGCACCATAGTTTTTTCTTGCTTTCCCGGCAGCCATTGGTATCCATTCATTTTACAACAGTATGAAAATCGGTGCGAATATCATGTCAATGTAAAGAACACATAAATTGTGGTAAATGGAACATGGGACAGTAGTGGTATGATGCCTTACAGTAAATGGACAGAATGAACCGCAAGAAAGTGAATAAGGATATTTCCCAAAAAGTGAAACTATTCCTTTAACAGGAAGAGAAGCGATACTGTTTCAAACATGCGTGGCTGTGTGTAGACTGAAATTAAGCGCTGCCTCTGTTTGGCTCTCTCATTGTAGGTGTGTATTGATGGTCATGACATCCGTTCTCTTAACGTCCGCTACCTGAGGGATATGATTGGAGTGGTGAGTCAGGAGCCCATCCTCTTTGCCACCACAATCGCTGAGAACATCAGATATGGCCGACCCAACGTGACGCAGCAGGAGATCGAACAGGCAGCCAGGGAGGCTAACGCTTATGACTTCATTATGACCCTTCCAGATGTACGAATGTATTTATGGCTCCCTATTGTTAATGCTTGTCGAGAACTCCGTTCACCACTTGCTAACACTGAGCCTCTTATCGTTGAGCAGAAGTTTGAGACGCAGGTTGGAGACAGAGGGACTCAGATGAGTGGGGGGCAGAAGCAGAGGATTGCGATTGCTCGAGCTCTAGTCCGCAACCCCAAAATCCTCCTGCTGGACGAAGCCACATCTGCGCTTGATGCTGAGAGCGAGACCATTGTGCAAGCTGCACTCGACAAGGTACAGACACACACAGTGAGATGCTCTGCCTCATTCACAAACTGTTTTTGGGGTTTCTTTGCACTTTGACTTTGATGCAGACATTGGGCTGCCATTACAAGCAGAACTACTAAGTACAGCCAATACACTAATATTAAAACATACCAATATCTCTGTGTGCAGGTCCGACTGGGTCGCACCACCATAGTCGTGGCTCACCGCCTCTCGACCATCAGAAACGCTGACCTCATCGCTGGTTTCCAGAAAGGTGAAGTTGTAGAGCTGGGGGATCACGGCCAGCTGATGGAAAAAAAGGGAGTCTACCACACACTGGTCACCATGCAGGTAACATACACACACAACATTTGACACATAATTAGGCTGGACTGGAATTCAATGGGGAAATTCACAATGGTCTGTGCTTGATGGTGTTTGTGTGCGTCTCTCTACCAACTGCAGACCTTTGAGAAAGTCGAGGAGGGGGAGGAGGCAGAGTACGAGCCTTCTGCAGACGAGAAGAGCCCATTAGTCAAGTCCTTCTCTCAGTCCTCTCTGTACAGGAGGAAGTCCACGAGAGGCTCCTCCATGACCGCCTCAGAGGGAGAGAAAGAGGAGAAAGAAAAGGTCAAGTATGGCGAGGACAAGATAGAAGAGGTGAGCTGCAGTGCAACATCTCAGCAGAACAAACAGACTTTGTGATATATCGGAGATGTGACTCAGCTCTTTCTCTCTTTTTCTGCAGGAGGAAAATGTGCCGCCCGTGTCGTTCCTTAAAGTTATGCGTCTCAACATTCCCGAGTGGCCATACATTTTGGTAGGGACCATCTGTGCCGTCATTAACGGAGCAATGCAGCCACTGTTCGCCGTCATCTTCTCCAAGATCATCACTGTAGGTTACTTAAATTTAAGTTAGTTACAACATTTTATCAGAGTTTTGTAGAATGCTACAAATTCTGTGGGTTTTTTTTCCCTCTCAGGTGTTTGTGGAGCCAGATCAAGAGGTGGTCCGGCAAAAATCCACATTCTTTTCCCTCATGTTTGTTGCTATTGGAGCTGTATCTTTTGTCACCATGTTTCTACAGGTATGCACATATATACGCACAGATGCATGCATGTTGACTTACAGTAATTTCCCAGTTGTGTTCATTAGCCTCAAAAGAATAGTTTGACATTTTGGAAAACAAGCTTATTGGCTTTCCTACCGAGAGTTTGATGAGAAGATTGATAACACTCTCATGTTTGTATGATACAACCAGGCTAGCTGTTTCCCTTTGTTTACACTCTTTGTGCTAAGCTAAGCTAACTGGCTTGTAGGTGTTGCTAATTATTTATTGAACTGTTTCTTTAACCCTATACCAGCACGTGCTGGTGATGTGACAGTTGGTTACAGACATTCATGTCAATGTCCAGGTGTGCTAATGTCTTGTGTCTGTAAATGGTTTTTACAGGGTTTCTGTTTTGGTAAATCTGGAGAGATTCTGACCCTGAAACTGAGACTGGGGGCTTTTAAGTCCATGATGAGACAGGTGCGTGCAACAACTTGAAATGAAATAACCCAGAGGTTGTTTCCTCTGTTGGTAATGGAAAATATGGTTGTGATGCAATATGATGTAATTTTTGTAGGACCTCGGCTGGTATGATGACCCCAAAAACAGTGTTGGAGCGCTCACTACGAGACTGGCCACAGACGCTGCCCAAGTACAAGGGGTAAGTCTCAGTGGCGGTTGCACACAAACAACAAACAAAGCTATTTACCAAAGGCTGCCACCACGAATTGTCTAGTGCAATCAGTGATCTTATCGTGTGCTTTGTTCCCCATCTTTCTCATCCCCTCAGGCCACAGGAGTACGTATGGCCACACTGGCCCAGAACTTTTCCAACATGGGCACCAGTGTGATCATCTCCTTTGTGTACGGCTGGGAGCTGACCCTGCTCATCCTGGCCGTGGTGCCTGTCATGGCAGTGGCTGGAGCTGTGGAGATGAAGTTGCTCACCGGACATGCTGCTGAAGACAAGAAAGAGCTGGAGAAGGCTGGAAAGGTGAGGAAATGTGCCAGAGTAACACTCACATGCAGTTTTCTTTTGTTGCTGTTTGTTGAAACTCTGTGGTGTGTCTCTACAGATTGCTACAGAGGCCATCGAAAATATCCGTACTGTCGCCTCCCTCAGCAGAGAGCCCAAGTTTGAGTCTTTGTACCAGGAAAACCTCAGCGTGCCATATAAGTACGAGGAGTGACATTATTTTAACCATACAGATCCACCATCTCCATACCAGATACATATATGAAATTACATTATATGAAATTGTATATGCATTTTAATCACATTTAATTAATTTAAGGAGTGGTCTCCAACCTTTCTCTCACTCTCTGTACAGGAACTCCCAGAAAAAGGCCCATGTGTACGGTATTACCTTCTCCTTCTCTCAGGCCATGATCTACTTTGCTTATGCAGGCTGTTTCCGATTCGGTGCTTGGCTCATAAAGGAAGGAAGGATGGATGTTCAGGGGGTATTCCTGTGAGTAAATGCTGTCTTGTCTCTTAATCATGACATTAACAAGCCACAACAAGTTTTAGTTTATGATAGAGAAGATGTCCAACAATAGTTTGTGTGCACTGATGAGGTTACAGTAGGCAATGTAAGACCAGAAGAGGCTGTTTATTTGGCTTTTAATCATTACCATGGCCTGAAGCATGTGAGAAGCCGCTTAGAAGCCAGAGTACATGGTCACACAAGCGATCTGTGCCTTTGGTGATCCTCAGACACACACACAAGTTTTAGTATGGTAATGTAATTCATTGCCACTGTTGGGAGGAGTCATGACTTCACTTATGTTCCACTTGTCTCACAAACAGGTATTCCAAAGTTCATCGGACATTGAGCCTCTGGCAGAGCATAAAACTATAAAACACAGTAATATTAACTCCTCAGCCCCTGCAGCATTTCATACAAACACTGTTATATTGTTAACCTTCAGATGTCTATTTGGTGTAATCACACAGTCATAAAAAGAGGAAAGGTATTTGGCAATATATGTGCAATATATATATATATAAATAAACAAGCAGATATAGAATACAGTATATGGTATGGTCATCAGTGTGGAAACAAGACTGAATATGATGGGAACCACCATTTAACAGGTTAAGTGAAAACTTTGTGGTGGTACCAGAAATGGACCAAAAGAGCAGCATTGCAGTCCCTAGAGCCATTCTGCTGGCATGTTTAAAAAAATGTTTTAACTTGGAGGCTGGTTAAGCGTAAATTAATGGGAAACATTGGGAATGTTGAGTGGCTAAAGTTTTAAAAGCAAATTGTCTTCTTCCATCCATTGATTTATCTCTTTTCACTATTTCATCTACACAGTTTGGCTTCATTAAATAAGAGAACAAAAGAAGAAACGCAGCTGATATGATGAAAGTTTGATAGAGTATGAAATATTCCATGAGTCAGATTTGACACACGACAGTATGATGATGTCCTGTGCATCTTTGATCTGTGAACTGAACAAACACCCCTTCATCCATTGTAATTAAAGGTGTAAACACATCAGCTAGTTCATCATCTCACTTGGGCAAACTGAACTGACAAAGCTGACTTGGATAATTAAAGAGTGATGGTGGTCCGACAAACATACCAACATCTACAAACACTTTGTGCACACAAAGGTTAAGATGTCATTGCCTCATGTTAGCTTAGCCTTACGCAATCCCATTTAACACTCCACTGCCTCTTAAATATGAAAGGTAAAACTGGTGCTTATGTTATTTATCTTCTGACTTCCTTTCTCAGTGTGATTTCGGCTGTTCTGTACGGTGCCATGGCTGTCGGAGAGGCCAACTCCTTCGCTCCAAACTACGCCAAAGCCAAACTGTCAGCCTCCCACCTCATGATGCTGATGAACAGAGAGCCTGCCATTGATAATCTTTCACAGCACGGAGACGCACCAGTACGTAACACAAATCTCCACACGCCAAACTCAACAGTTCCAGTGCAGCTCTTTACACATATTCTAACATATCACTCTTCTGCCTCATCTCCTAAAACTCCAGGACAAATTTGATGGTAACGTGCAGTTTGAGCATGTTAAGTTCAACTACCCTTCGCGATCTGACCAGCCCATACTCCAAGGGCTGAATCTGAAGGTGGGGAAGGGAGAGACGCTGGCCTTGGTGGGGAGCAGCGGCTGTGGAAAAAGCACCATTATCCAGCTGCTGGAGAGGTTCTATGACCCCAGAGAAGGGAGAGTGGTAAGACAACAAATACACGCCCATGCCTCTTCACCTACTGTCACTTAGTTAATGGTTAGCTGGCCAGAGTGTTTATGGCTGCTTTACAGCACTGTACTGATGAGACAGGGACCTAGAGACATTATGAGGCCTGTGTAGCGTGTGTTTTTATCTAGATCACACTATAAGTTCATTTTATCGGGATGGGATTACTGCTGTTGCTGATAGTCCCGTGAGAGTGAAATGAATGTTGTTATCTCCTGGCCTCACATCTGATGTAATGGAATGCTTTTCAAATTATCAGTATTTTTAAATCATCAGTGGGTCACAAGATGACTTGTATGTGAAAGGGGTTCCTTGTAGTGACAAACTCGCAGATAATTGTCATTACAGTTTCCTTCAGCTCTACAGAGCATTTTAGCGTATTTCAACTCATGTTTTGGTTTTCCAGCCCACAACTTGAGTTTCGGTTTACTCTCAATACCCTAATTAACCTGAGGCCAGAGGTACCTATTTTCAGCAACAAAAAAAAAGCTGTAAAAACCTCTCTGTACACAATCTTCTCAGCACCAAACAGCAGACAGACAAAGTTAGTGGCTAGCTGGTGAACATGGTGGAGCATTTAGCAGCTAAAGTGCCTGATATTGCCTGCACGACGAGATGGAGAGCAAAGCAGAGCCAATAATGCTAATGTTGCTAATGCTAATTGTGCGTTTAGTTCAGCTTGAAAGGTAAAAAAAATGTCAAAACTAATCAGTAAAAAAAAATCCACATCACTTTTTCTGCAATCATTTCTGCAACCGTTTTCTCCTTCAGGTGCTGGACAACGTAAGTGTAAAACACCTGAATATCCACTGGTTGAGATCCCAAATAGGCATCGTATCCCAGGAGCCCGTGCTGTTCGACTGCACTTTAGCTGAAAACATCGCCTATGGAGACAACAGCCGCACCGTAACCATGGAGGAGATAAGGGCAGCTGCTAAAGCAGCCAACATTCACAACTTCATAGAAGACCTGCCACAGGTATAACCACTGTGCTTTACTGATGTTTCAGCAATGCTCTATTCTCAGTGATGACAAAGCTAAAAATATACAGGCATTGTTTTTTTTCCACTTTTCTTTTTCATATCAGTTATCTGTTAACACCACAAGGCCACGCAAGTCTCACAGATAAACTGTGATATGGTGTCTGACAACGTGCCAGTGATTATACAACAGCAACAAAGAGCTTCTGACTATCCAGAGTTAAAGAATCATTCACCCAAATAAAAAACAACACAGGTTTAGTTGTATTTGTCCAGGTTTACAGATATGTCTCTAAGATGTCTCCACAATGGGGTTAGTGGTGCTCACAGCAGAGATTCAAAAGAGATCTGTCTTTTCAGAAGAAGTGTTTGAGAATACAGTTTACATATAGACCTTTGGTAAAACTCTGTGATCCTTAATACTTTCCTAGGAAGTTTCCTGGAATTAAATTTGTAATTTGGTACTAATTATGGGCAAAATACTGTAGATGAAGTGTTCAAATTGGCCTGTGTCTCTAGTTTCATTATTTTCCCATTACTTTCCAGGAAACTTCCTGGAAAATTAGCAAACTGTTCATAGTGAGTTGTGTGGATTATAGGATCCTTCTGTCAATATTTTTGGTAATCTACAGTAACACTATTACATGGTCTGTCTCTCTCTCTCTCTGTCTCTCTCTATTTGCGTGAGCAGAAGTACAACACTCAGGCAGGTGACAAGGGAACACAGCTGTCAGGTGGACAGAAGCAGCGCATAGCCATAGCCCGAGCCATCCTGCGCAACCCCAAACTGTTGCTGCTGGACGAAGCCACCTCAGCACTTGACACGGAAAGCGAGAAGGTGAGTGACTCCTTCCCAGAAATGATACTGGCAAGAATGATCAAGAGGAGGGGATTAACAAAAACAAAAATGCATTAGTTTGCTGAAATTTCCCTTGATGAAAATTGCATTGAATCACTTGTTTAAGCAGTAAATCAAATCAAGTAGAGAAAGTTGATCTTAAAACTGAATATGCAACAAAAACATGTGAGGTCACTGTTGTAATTCTGCTGTCTCTGCAGGTGGTGCAGGACGCGTTGGACCAGGCCAGGAAGGGCAGGACGTGTATCGTGGTGGCCCACCGTTTGTCCACCATCCAAAACGCAGACCGCATCGCTGTCTTGCAGAAAGGAGTTGTGGTCGAACAGGGAACACATCAACAGTTGCTGGCCAAGAAAGGAGTCTACCACATGTTGGTGACCACACAGATGGGCCACGGGAGGGAATGAGAGGACAGGGAGAGGACACAGGGAGCAATACTACACCGATTATTTTTAGGCTTTATGTTTCCAAGGCTGGATTAAACACCTGTGCCTTTTATCATGAACTCCCTGCCTCACATTTGTACAGCTCTACAAATTCAGACTGAGCAGCTTCAGTGAGACAGTTGGGGAGTGGATATTCTGACTGCATCTTGGCTTGTTTGGAGATGAAACCTTTCAGCCTTTCATCTTGTGGCTGTAGCTCATTGGGTCATATAGTTTGGTCATGTTTAAACAACAAAACTTCTGTAGTGCTGCTCACTAGTTGTCACATTTAGCCGTACCACTTTCAGGGTCCTGGTATTGTTCATGGTGGCTAACTGTTTCTGACTTACTGGGACACTTGGATTTTAGTAGTAACACCTTTTCCTACTATGACAAGTCAAAATGTCTGCTGTGAAAAGGGCCAGCTGTAACATACCCAATCATGTCCATGTGTTCGTTATTCTTGTCCTCGTTAGAGAATATCCATTCATGTTTGTACGTCATAAAGTTGGAACACATTCATGGCCAGTATTTTTTTCTCCCAAGATGGAGCTACTGGATGCCAACACACCTGATTTTTTGGTGCCACCTACTGTTAAGTGCAAAATACTTATGATAAAATACACAGTGATTAAAGCTAAGATTACACTGAATTATCATATTTCATGATATATATGTGCCTTTGACACAGGAATCATCATCACAAAAAACTTGTGTTCTACAGGGAATGTATTTGGGAAAATTCTTTGTTGAATACTTTGATTGTTTAGTTTTCATAACATTTTCTACAGTTTGACTTAATAATGAAGCAGAAGTGCCTGAGCAGTTTTACCGAGGTAAATATTGTATACACAGAGGTGTGCAAATGTGAATTCTCATTCACACACTTTGGCTGCGATGACTAAGAGTCCTACTTTGTCTCTGTAAATGCACAACATTACTAACATTTTGGAGGACATGCTTATATATTAAAGTTTTATATGCAAATATTGAACCATTGCCTCATTATAACATCATTATATTCATTTAAGGGATTAAATGTCTCAGCTTTATTTGTCAGAACATTCATACTGTACTACACTACAAATCACATACATTTAGTGCTTTTTCTCAACATTTATGATCAGAGTTAAAAATATTCAGTTACTTTTCATTTGAGTATTTGAAAGACGTTTATAAAAGCTTTGTCAACAATCATAACAACAGATTAGCTTAAGGCTTTCAGTGCAGAAGAAAAATGGTCTTTAAGGCTCAGTGATGTTAGTCATCCTAATAATGTTAATATAAAACCGTGTGAACATTAAACCATCTTTATCATGATGTGAAAACACAAACAAAGGAAAACTGTATAGTGTGCAGATTATTAAGGTTTTGGTCAAAAGAAAGATGCAACAATCGGCAAAGCAACTGTTTTACAGTGTACTGAAATAATGCAACACAATGCAGTACCTCAGTAGAATGGAAAGCAACTCTTAGTAGACTGATTAAAGAGATAAAAAAAAACTTTGGCCATATTTGTCCAAATATTAAAAAATGAGCTTCCAGTGTAAGTGACAGGGGACAAAATCCACAGGTGTTGTTCTGTGCAAGTTGTTATAGACAGACTTGGAAAAATTATTAATTTATCCTGTGGCCGAATGAACTTCAGTGATATCGTAAACTAATTTTAGTGCCTGCCTACACAGATATAAATAAAATTCAGTTGTAACCAAAAATACTCCATCCCTGGAGAGCACTAATTACCAATGGCCATGTAAGTACATAAGTCAGAAACAAACTGATCTCTTAGCAATAATGAATTTTAATTTCAGCCCTGCCTTTAATAGTTGAGTACTATTGTTGCATATTTCTGTGGATTTTCATTGGGTGACCAACACCTAAAACAAGGCACATCAATTTTATTTAACTTCTATCAAACTTAGTTTTTGTGGGTTTGATTGGAATGCCCTTTATTATATCACAGTAGAAGTAGTAGAAGTCTAAGGCCAAGAGTCAAAGCAGTCAGCAGTGATTACCAGTCATGTAATAATGTAGTAATAACTACTGAGTACTAACTTAATAATGCATTTAAAATTAAACATCCTAACATACATTAGAGTCATAATAATCTGAGAAATCAGGAAAAATATATACACCTAAAAGAACAATTAACATAAAAAAATCGAAATCTTATTTAGCACTAAAAAAAAAAATAGAAAACTAAATTTACTTTTTTTTCTAAATGCCAAAACCAGTGAATCTCCCCTGGAAGTACTGATTCTGAGCCTTTGCATTGATCTGTGCTGAGAACAAACATGACTATCACCAGCTGTCGGCTATTAACTGAGGGTTTGTGAGCTGTATTTGCATTAATGCTCAAACAGGGACAGAGGTAAATGCTGAGTGTGTAAATTAGCCTGTGTTCAGCTACTATGTCTCTTGGTGTGAGTACTTATAGCTGAGACGTGGTGGCCAGGTGGAGCATCTCATGCAGCGAGCTACAGAAGTTGTTGAATAGTGACGCAGCATCCGTTTGATAGCAAGATTTCCATGCTGAGATGGAGATCACAATCCTGAAGGGAAGAAAAACAGCAAGGGTTTTAATTACAGCTGCTGAAATTTCAGGGAAGATGCATAAAACGTCAAGCATTCAACTGCTTGATGAATTCAAACCATACTGTGGAATAATGTATAAATACAATAGGTACAAATTGGCCCAATAAAAACAGCATCAGCAAATTCCAAAACAAATTTCTTTATGATGGTGAAATGAACTTTGTGAAAACCTAAGAAGGTGAAAAACCTGCATTTATTTTATTTTATTATTCATATGCCCAAAGGTTTTATGAGTTTGTATCAATTATTCAATTCAAGTTTTAACACTCCACGCAACGGCTTTGTGAAAACATGTTACGTCTTGTCTGCTTACCTGTCATCTCTGATGCGGTAGAAGAAGCCATAGCCATGGTGCACCATGGGAGCCACGGCCCCCAGAACTGTGGTGTAGCCCACCAGACTGGACGACAGCACAAAGTTACCACCACCACCACTGCAGACACAAACATAACCCTGTTACAGACTGACAGAAAGACCTGGCGAGTGCTTTTCAATCTGATGCAATGTCTTAAGTCTGCTACATAAGATCTGTATTGTAGTTCAATTTAAACAAGACTAGGTCAAAACCTAGTATGTGGCTGGACCGCCTATGGTCAAATCCTGATTTTATAACCATGACATGGTCTCACACAGCTCACAGCCTCCGTCTGGGATCCACAATAGTTGAGCCTTTATTTACTTCAACTCCAGAACGTAATGACTTTTATTAGAGGCAGGTCTAACCCTAACCCTCGAAATCCCTCGGTTTGATATGTAGAATCGGTCATAGTGGTTAGTACGAAGCCTCAATATTGATTACTTCTCTCTCTCCCTCCCTCCCTCTCTCCTGCTCAGTGTGTCTTATGTTTAATTATTTCTCTGCCTCCTTCAGTAATACTTTGTATTTGTTTAAACAGGGAATATTTGGCAGTGATTCCTAAAATTGGCTAAGTATCATGACTAAGAGTAATTATCTTTACTAACAAAGAAGACAATTACACTAAGTTATAAGACAGTTCCAAATAGATTATTACACATACTGATGAAACTGGTTTTTTTGGGCAGGGCATAGTGAGGCAGGCAGTCACATAACATCAGCTGGGGACAGAAAAGTAGTTTTACAAAATAGTCCGCTGTACCTCTTTGCGTAGAGGGGATCCATGAAGAGCTCTGGAGTGGGACATCCCTCCTCTTTGGCGATAAGATACAGGCCAAGGAGATGCCTGTCAAAACCTGGAAACAGTGTCACAAAACAGCATGAGCTGATATCAAAATCACAAGTTCTTGTACACATACATGATTCAAACAGAATAGGGACACACATGTAACACGCATCGCTCCAAAGTGCAACTAGTAGTCAAAAATCAGGGTACCTTTAATGTTATTCTTTCACTGGTGATACATTATTTCTTCCTGTATGAGGTTAACTCTTGTTTATGTTATTTTTATTTTTTCTCATTTTAAATTGCTATTATTTGAATTTGTTGTGTTTTTATCATGGACTGTTTTCACAGTTTCACAATTGTTCCCAGTAAAAATAGTAAAAAGTGTTTTTAGTTTATTATAGCTGCACACCTACAAACAAAGTGAGGATAGCAGAAAAATAATTTCCATCAATGAAATAATGAGAGCTGCTTTGAACGAGTGGTCTGACCATTGACCAGTGATACGTAGAAATAGCAACAAATTGCATAAATGTTAAATAAACAAACCTTTTCCTTCCTGGGCTTCAGCCATTAGTTTGTTGTGTTTATTGAAGGCCAGCAGCATGGATTTCCTCTTGGCATTAAACTGAGTGAAAAATGTACCATGTCAAATAAAGACTGCATCCACCCATTTCCTGTGCGACAATTTTCCACAGCCATACACACTCACATCACATGTGGGGTCCATCATTGCTTTACACCAGTTCATAGCCTCCTGGGTGCAGGGTCGCATCGTCTCCGTCCTGCCGTGGTAGAACTGGCGAGTCATTGCTGTCTCATAGCAACTACCTGGCCTGAGAGAGGGAAGAGGTCACTCACTTCATACACTTCAAATATCAGTAAAGGCATGAGCAAATTTTTAAACAGTCCATACTTTTTGTGCAATCTGTAGAAGGCCAGCTGCATTGCCAGTTGAATAAAGGTGTCAGGATGCAGCTTCTTCTGTTTGATGACTGTTTTTCCAAACGCAGTGAAGGCGTAACACACAACCTGCAGGTCCCGTGTCTTTAAAACCAGAGATAGAGTGGTCAGTCAAACAGCTGTGACGATACAAAGTCATTTTGCATCAGGCTTTTTGTAGTATAGTTTGGTATTAAATACTGGCTCACCGACTCCAGGTATTGCTGTTTGGCGTGGCTGATGTCACTCCGGACTTTCTCATCCAAAGTAAACACCATCTCCTCAGGAAGGGGTGTGGGTCTGACTGCATCTGAGCCCTAAAAAGCACAGACATCAATGAGCGAAAAGTGTAAGCATACATCTGAACTTAACTATCACTAATAAGAACTATTTCAATTTATGTACAGGATCAAGTAATAGCACACATTTACCTTCCATTTGCCTTCTGTAGCTTTGATTTGCTGGTCCACATACCAACACATTGACACCAGTACCATGGCATCATATGGGGCATGCTGCAAAACAATTTAATTGATGTTTTTAATCTATCATTTTCTATCATTCTAACAATTATGCTTTTAAATTTTACGACTGTAGCATTATTTGCTTTTGGTCAGGTTCTGTCCAAGACATAGAGACAAGCAGCATGAAAATCTTAAATCTCAAAATGTGTGTTATGGGTTTGTACAGTCTTGCATAGTCTCTAGCATGACACACACACACACACACACACACACACACACACACACACACACACACACACACACACACAACCACATATACATACAAACTCACATCACAAGTGGATCCAAAAGTGCCATCTGAGAACACGATTGAATTGTACGACTTGTCTCCCCAGCGGACGGCGGGGTTGCCTGTAAGGGCTTCCAGGGTCATCTGGGTTCAGAATTACAAAGTCAGAAAACCAGACACACAGCTTTTTTTCCTGTGGCCAGAGCACTCATGAAGTCATAAATAATTCAAATGTGTGCAGCTAGTACATTTGTGTAGTTCTCTGGTGTGGAGTAGGGTTTCGTTTCATCCAGAGATATGACGAACAGGCTGCTCTGGATGGTCTCCAGGATGGTCTTATTGTGTGGATCAATGCTTATTAGATGTTCCCTGGCCTGCGGAGACAGTAAACAGATAAAGGCTGACAGTGCTGATCCTCAGCTATCCTTTTGTAATGTGAGAACTTTTTCACTCTGTGTTACATGTTATTCACTGAGATGTCTCTGAGCCTGGTCTCCCTTACCTTCGCCCAACGAGTCCTCTCCTCTGAGGTGAGAGCAGCCACTCCGTCTCCCTCTGGCTCTCCCTCACAGCGCTCCTTCACGTAGGTCAGCTGCCTGCACAGGTTAACACACACACACACACACAAAATATAACAAGGTAACTTTGAACTGTGGGTGCTTTCCATCAAGCCAAATTGACTTTAAGACCCTTTAATATCTTTTTAATATTACACAGAATTGAACAGCTTTGCACAATCCATTATCAAAAAAGTCTCACTTTTAGTTTATAGTATCTTCCAGCAGCTCACACTGCAAATTAAATCAACAAAGACTTAAAACCCTCTAAACCATTTCTTAGAAAAGTGAATACAAAGCTTTAGACTTGCAGATACAATGTATTACACATGATCGCAATACTGAAGATCTGGCAAACTACCCATGGAAACAGGAATAAGAGCACCAACAAGCGGCCCAGATATTATTAACAAATCATAAAATCAAAACTTTGACTACTTTTCTTTCATAGATCAAAGACTTTTCTTTTTCTTAACTTCTTCTCTGATCTAAGTGCATCTTGGAGAGAAGAATGAGAATGACAGACTCACTGTACCTGCTGCCCTCCACAAACTAATTATAGATTGCATTTTGGACATTTATAGCTGTTTCTATTGTTCCCTCAGGTCTGTTCTATTCTTTCCATAAAAAAACAATTTTCTGCTTGTGTTATTATTTCACAAGCAGTCACATTCTGATGATGAAACCACAATAGATCTACATATATGTAACGTGTTTTTATTTAAAACTATTACTTGATTATTTCCACATATTATGAGGCAGTTGATCTGTCATGAGTAAATGCTGTCTCATCAAAATGATGCTGGAGTGATCAAGCCTCAAAAAAACATCTAGTGTCTCTTCTAAAGATCTTTCTCTCACTTTCCTATTAGGAGGAGAGGAAGAGACACGAGTGAGGAAAGCACCCACTGTCTGCCCTCTAAAGATAATGTAAGTAGAGCGCCCTCTTTGGTCTAATTAGTGAAGACTAACAACAATCAGTTAGCAGTGTCAGTGGAAATGACTCCATAGCCCAAAGGCCTCAAGACCCCTTCATAGTTGGATTTTATTCTTGAGGGCTGTTTGTACTTGTGTGTAAACTACCTGAGAAGTTCTGGAGGAGTGAGAATCTGTCCATCACAGAGTGCATCAAATGTGAAGATCCGTCCACGACACATCACTACCAAATGGGAAGGGCACGGACCCTCTCGCTCTGTGACACAGCAGAAAATACACATTACATAACAGTGATATGTAAGCTGAGGAAGTGGGCTACAGTTTACGCAGGTGCGTCTTAAGGTTAGAGATAAGAGCAAAGTTTATTCCACCTGTCTTGAAGTAGTTGCGAATGGTGTCCTTCTTTACTCCAGGTACTTTGCAGGTGCAGTACAGCATTCTGAACTGATCCATATCTAATGCTGTTTTACCAGCTTTCTGAGGAGCAAGTCTCTCCCTAAAACATGCAAAGGAAGAAAAAAATCCAATATTACATTATGTGACTTTGTGTAAAAAGTAGAGCAGCCTCTTCTCCACACACCACAAAAACACAGCTTGTAAATGTTTGTGTGAGCATGTCTTACGTGCGGATCAGGTTCCAGTACTGTAGTGTGTGCCATGTGCTTATACTCGCCCTCTGCAGATAAATTCCCTCTGCAGGAGGCCAGCAGTGCTCCAGGTAGGGTGCTGGGCCACCAAAGTTCACATTCAGCTGAGATGGTATGCGGACCTCCAGATATGCTGTGTCTAACCACCATTCTTCCAACTAGGAAACAAAAACAACAATCAAGTTGAACATCCAGGACTAAAGAGGACAACTAAGAAAAACACAAGACATTTACATCTGAATTACACACCCAGTTCTTCTTTATCTTGGATCTCTGCAGTAGTTTCTGGTGTAGCTCTTTACCAACACCCTCTTGGAATTTCCTCACAATGTCCACTGTAGCTTTAAACTCTTTCTCAGATGCAAATGGATAAACTGTTGGAAAACATGGCAATACAAAGTCAATCAGTGAATCGGTGTTAAACTGTTAAGTAAGAAGACCAGCTTCTGGTCATTGTGAACATTTAACATCTTCTGTAGTAAAAACTGTGATTTTTATTCAGCTCATGCAAATGTAATAAATACTTATATATCGTATCAAACAAGCATACTATAACACTTATTGACACATTTGCGTGTGACCAATTGAATTTGGCATATGGTAAAAATAGAAATCTGGGGAGACAGATCCAAAGAGCTGAGGTACACTGATAAATGCCATTGCATAATTTTAACTGCAATACTGATTTTATGATGTCATCCATTCATTTTCCAAAACTTACAAGACCTTCTTTTGATTATTTTCTTGTGTTAACTATTGGTCAAATCCACTAGGAACCAGTTTGAAACCAAAGGTAAGGGGTTTTCAAGGCCTAAGGGCAAAATTGCAGAGTAAAACTTCATATGCAGATAGTTTTGGTTTTTAATAAAAAGGAGCAGGAACATTCATATAAAGACAAGTAGCAGCAGCAGTGAGCAGTTATGGTCCTACCAAATTTTCTTCTTTACAGAATTTGTTTGAATAAATATTTGAATTTTGCATGGTAAACAGTTACAACACCTGAACAGAGGAACTCCATGACACAGCAACACAGCAGGTTGAACAAAGCTACTATCTATCCTACCTGAATCCAGGTACTTGGAAAGGCTGCTCTCTAGTGACGGTACAGGCAGAGGAGGCAGGCTGTTTTGGTACTGGAAGGTCTGCTCTGGCAGAGATTCTGACAAATGATTAGCCATTTGTTCCCCCTGTAACACAAATACATGTTGCACTGACATGACACTGAGGCTGACATTGGTTTATATCACTGGTATGACAGGGTAAGACTCACGTAAGAGCCATTTTTGTTAATACTTTGTTTTGTAAACTTCCCATCACTTGAAGGTGCTGTCAATTAGGCACAGGTTGACATAATCAAGAGGTTACTTGACACAGGTGTGGCTGACTTGGGAGGAGCAAGTAGTTTTTTACTGTCCAATAATGATTTAAATATTGTGTTTTTTTTATTCTGTGTTTGGGTGGTATACTCATTACTCATACTTTGTTTTGGAAAACCCACGGTTTCCAAACATTTTGGTGAATAAAATGTCAGAAAATAGTCAAAATTACTGTTATAATTTCCCACAGTCCAAGGTGAAATACTTGGCTTCTGGTGGCCATATAGCACCATTTCCTGACATTATGAACAAATGTTAAGTTAGACAGATTAATTAATATTGAGAACTACAAGGGCACTAATAGAGTGCATATTTCCACCAAGGCCAATGTCAAACAACACGAACCAAACCTCATAGAAAAAAATACTAATTCATAGAAAATGATCCAGATCTGCCTCAAAATGTGGTGGGTTCTTCCCCGGACCATGCCCCATCGTTTCACCAAGTTCGGTCAAAATCGGTTCTGTACTTTTTGCGTAATCCTGCTGACTAACAAATAGACATAAAACATGACCTCCTTGGCGTAAGTAGTAAGTGTAAGCTGTAGCGCTTTATCATACAGTCACTGATATTTCAAACCAACTAGTAATGCTATAGCCTAAGTTATTCCCACTCAGGTTTCTCTGTCGGTCTGGTTAAGAGCTTTGATATTCACTGTGAACGGTCTGTTTAGCATTTGGGGAAAACTCATAACAATATAACTTTCATAACCAGATTTAATATCTCACTATTTTATTGTGTATTGTTAGGCAGCTCTAAATGCCCCCGTGTTCTGTTGCTCATTGTGTCAAAGCCATTTTAATTCATAAACTCTTATTACGACCACAGAACTCGATAAACGCTTTTGGTCTAACTTTACTATCAGCGCGATGTTCAACGGAAATAAGACAACCAAAATGTTCGTTCAATTTAAGAAGATTACTAAGAGTTTTTACTCGTTTATTGTTACTTCAAAGAGGCTTCTAACGGTTTCCAGTAAACTAACTAACGGCAGTAACATTAATCTGTCACAAATTAGCTCATCTCGGCTGCGGTTATCGGCTAATGCTACAACAATAACAACAACTAGTAGTAGTAAGTTTAACTTGATTTAAACACTTCTTAGCTTTCCAACACAGCGCTTCTGTCTGCTCACCTTCTCCAAGAAATGTTGACTTCAGCGTTGCATCCAAGCACAGCAGCGATATTGTAATTTCGGCGTGTTGTTGGTTTTTGCTCGCTGCGGCAGCCCCTCACCTTTACCCCACTGAACCGCTGTTCGAGTGCCAGCAGGGAGCATTACACTGCGCATGCGCGGACGATTTGCCCATTTGACCCATAGACTATTTGATCCTAATGTTGTGATTGAAATAATGAGGTCAGTCTGTCTGCAGTTTGAGAGAGTCGGAGTGACTCAGTGGCTGTAGCAACCAAATAGCAAGGGAGGAAGAATTTAGTAATAGTATGTACGTTTAATCAGGAAAATTTATTTAAAGTATTCAAAGTAAAAGTACTAAATGTAAAAAATGTCCCCTGTGACTGTTTAACTATTATTATTACTATCTGACTTTCTGTTATTTAGTCTACCCTCACTGATATAAATGGGCCGTACAAAATAATAGATAAAAGATAGACAAAAATACATATGGATTTAATTGCATTCTGTTTCACTTACAATAATGCAGCTCTACTAAAAGCAAAGGAAAGTCAAATTCCCAATAAAGAAGAATCACAGGAAACACAGACAAAAACAGTCCATAAAGAGGTTTTATTTTCAAACTGTGCAGTAATTATGTTCACATTTGAAGGCATTTAGTTTGTCCTGTTCTGATTAAACTTCAAGTAACATACGAAAGTGCACAAGTATACAGTATATTGCTGTACACATGTGGATTACACGTGTAAACTACATAAATTAGATAAAATAGCAATTAGCAAGTTTAATATTTTTACCCTTAGAGGATGCATAGAAGTTTATCAGTGGTATGAATTAATGGGAGTAATCTATGTAAAAAAAAAGACATACCAAGGAGAAAGAAATCACAGCAAATTTTAAAAAAAAAAGAAAATCTACTCTAAAACTTTTTGTCCTGCATAATTATGGCCTCTGAAAGCAGAAGGCTATTTTTTACATAGGGAGCAGCATTGTTTTAGTAATGGAGTTAGTAGTCCTTTGTTTATTGCATTAATTCTGCCTCATTCTGCCAGTTTATTGCAAGTCTTACATCCCGTATTTGCTGATGATTTCCTTTGCAAGGGTGATGTAGGCTGACATGGCATCGTCCTTGGACATTCCTGAAAGAGAGTGTGATTACAAATTATTTGGATAAGAAACACAAAGCGTCAGTTTGTTGCAGATTCAGCCATGTTAGGCATAGTTAGGCATAGCTCATGGCCGACCACAGAACTCGATAGGTCCACCACTTTGGTCCAGACTGAAACATCTCAATAGCCATCACATCAAATGCCATAAAATCTGGTACAAATGTCCATGGTGCCCGCTTTTCCTTTACAGCCACCAGCAGGTCAAAGATTTCACGTATTCCGTGAAATGTCTATTGGACGGTTTGGAACAAAATATGGTATAGGCATTAATGGCCTCCAGAGGCTGTATCCTGCCAAGTTGCCAATTATGATCCTCTCCTCATTGACAATTGTGGTTTTGAACTAAATATCTCAACAACTGCTGGATGGATTGCCATTAAAATTTGCTATACATGTTCAAGTGATCATGTGACTTTTCACTTAGCTCCATCATCAGTTCAAAATTCCAGTTTGTCCATTTATTTGTTTATGACCAAATACCTGCATGCCAATGATATTCCCATCGTCCTCAGCTGTGCTTTGTGTTTATATCTAATGAGCAAATGTAGCATGTTAAATTAAGATGGTGAGGACAGCAAAAATATGATATGATGCAAATGCCTAAGTGCAGCCTCATAGTACGACTGGCATCACTGTAGACTCTTGTTTAAACTTGTACTGCGTAACAAGTCTTGTCTTACCTTTCCTGGAGTCCCAGGCGTCCCACTTGGCTTTTCCTTTTAAGTCCATCATTCCCTTTCGATCTATAATATTGTGAAAGCACACAGAGAGGAGGAAGTATTCAGAATTTAGGAAACATTGCATGAAAGTGATTCTGTTTTATACATCAAGTTCTACCGATGTTAATGTCTCCAACAAGCGCCTGCTTGTAAAGCCCATAGAGGTCCAGCAGCTCCTTGTCCGTGGGCCTCGTCTTCACCTTCTTCACATCCTCTGCCAACTTCTCAAAGTCCGCCTGCAGGTTAAAGATGGTCAGAAAAGACACAGTCAAGTCAGTCTTTCTATTTCTAATAATCCTACAAGACTGCAGCAGTTACAGTACGTTTCCACATGATAAGCAACAGATTTTCTGCTCTTTACCAAGTCTGACGGGTGACCCAGGGTTAAGGTATTTGGTCGCAGTGGGAGTGTATAGTAATCACAGAATATGAGAATGTGCATATTAATTGGTTACAGACAACACTGAATAAGAAATCTTAGCCTAGTATTCCAGTCATGGTGTGGAGCCCGGGAAACTCATTGTTGCACAAGCTGGAGATAAACAATGAGCTTTTATTCAACACTCTAGTGCTTTTGTCTCTACTTGAATAATCTACTTTTCAAAGTATCTGGGGCACTGCACAACAGATAATTATAGACCATAGGAGAGACGTTTTTAGGATAGATTAAAAAAAAAAAAAATCTTGTGAACTCTCAGCCTATGAATGTAGCTCCTGTTGCAAAGATTAATCTCTGAACCTAACCTATTAGTCAAAATGTAGAATACATAAGCCAGCCAAATACTTTTAATCTGGATTCAACTGGAGTCAGATCCTGTTTGGTTTTCCAAATCCTGCATGATAATATTTTCTTTGTTAAGCAATCTGTTTGCAAATAAGTTAACTTCTTCTGGCTCTCGCAGACTGTCAAAGATGGATGACACCATATACAGTAGAGGGCGTGAACACCGGACCGCTACAGCCGCTATTAATTTCAGAGCGATAATAAGAAGCCTTGTACTTTCTCTGAAATAATGAATTAAATGGAAACAAAAGCAGTAAATATTTTTACCTGAAGAGACATTTTCGCAGATGCAGCCTCGTAGTCGAGATGAATGTATTTCTCCTGCTTTGCGCAGCTGTAATTGCAGCACAGCTGATCAATGCGTTATTGTCGGCCAAGGACAGGCCTGTAGAGGAGGGAGCAGAGAGCTGCAGAGGATCTGATTGGCTGCCTTTCAACCTCACTCAGTCACTGCGACACACACACACACACACACACACACACACACACACACACACACACACACACACACACACACACACACACACACACACACAGTTATGATGTAGGGAAAAGTACATTTCACTATATTTATCTGACTTGATCTGATCTGTGCAGAATATGAGTTTATACACACAAGAACATGTTTATTTTATAAAACGTATTTGTTATCAACAGTAATAAGCAAAACCTCAAAAAGTACCAGTAATAGTACCATATTACAAGATTACTATACAGTAACGTTGAAAAACATGTTTGGATGTTTTATGCAGTGTACGTATACTTTATACATAAATGCACTACTGCCCATTCAACACTGGTCGGCGCTGCTGTTGTTTTTAAATAAAGTTATTTGGATTCAAACAACATGGCGGCTCGCAGTGGTTCATCCATGCTGTTCGACTGAAGATGTGAAACAGAAATTTAAAAAAGAAACGGGATTTTTTTTTCTGCTTTAAACATCAGGTAAAGTTATGCATGTCATTCTTGTTTTTCATGTCTGTGGTTGATCCATTATGTTAACAGGGGTTTAAACAGTGAATGGAAGCATCAATAGTCACAAACTGTTTGTGTTGTTATTGATTAGCAGTGATCAAAGTACTCCGATCAAATCAAAGTACCTACAAATTGTTCTTAAGTACAGTACTTGAGTAAATGTATTTAATTATTTGCTGAATCACAAATATACCACTAACAGCTGTAATCTTCTTATTATGATTTTTGAGGCCAGTATCGATATCTGTATTTGTGAGTAAAAAGAAATCTGGTATTGTTACACCAGTATTTGTTCTGTAGCATGAACTCATAACATACAAAACATTGTTCCTTAAATCTATTTATATTATAATCTAATTACAAAAGGAACTATATATTTTATACTTTTTGTCACTGTATTTACTTCCCCTTCCTATTTTTTAACAATCCTATTTTCTTATGTGTTGTACTGAGTTTTACTTATTTTATGACTGATTGAATTACTTGTATTGTTTGGTAAACATATTGTGAAGATCTGTTTTTGAATAAAGCTAAAAAAAATAATCATTAATTATTATTATTACTGCTATATGTTTTGAGTAGGACATTTTGCAATTGAAAAATCAACTTGTCATTACTCTCTGGAGGATATATAATGTAATGGAGACAAAATTATCCTAAAACTAACTTTTGGCATTTCTGTACCACAATTTCTTGTAACCATTTGATATTGGTTGGGCTCCATGTGTAATGTAACTTTTTTCTTTTCATCAGCAGATTTTGTTTTTATAATTTCAGAGCAGGCATGGCCACTCCAGGGAAGCCACTTAAAAAGGAAATCAAAAGGCATATTCCAGCCAAGACCTCCTTCACCTCACCCCTCACCCCAACATGGATGCCACTCCCCCAACAAGACATGTATTTCATCCTGAAAACCCTGAAGGACAAGCTCATCTCCATAGGGCTTGAGAAGAAAGAGATGAAAGTGCATCGCCCACGGAGGACAAAGAAAGACCAGAAAGCTGCGGCCGCCTCATCAGAACCTGTTCCCCAGGTGCAGGATACTCCCAAAAACGGCTGGACAGATGTGGCTGCCAGACGACAGCTGGCCATTGGCATCAACGAGGTCACGAAGGCTCTGGAGAGAAATGAGCTCAAACTGGTGCTGGTGTGTAGGTCTGTCAAACCGAGGCACATGACGCATCACCTGATAGCACTTAGTGCAACAAGAGGCGTGCCGGCCTGCCAGGTGCCTCGTCTGAGCGAGAGCGTGTCCGAACCGCTGGGGCTGAAAAGTGTCCTCGCACTGGGATTCAGACAGTGCGCCTCCAAGGACGAGGAGGTCTTCACTGACACTGTTGATGCCATTAAACCCAGAGTGCCCTCACTGCATGTTGCATGGCTCCCAGGTGCAGCAGCCACTGAGGACCCTGCTGACATGGAGGAGGAGGGGGAGGAAGAGGCTGGAGAGAAGAGAGGCCAGAAAAGGAAACTGGAGAGTGAATCTGAGGAGATCTCAGAGTCTCCCTCCTGCACTCTGCAGCCTCTCAAAGTGAAGAAAATAGTTGCTAACCCTGAAAAGAAAAGAAAAAAGAAGGTTAAGACGTAGCCTGTGAAATGAAAGAGAAACTCTGCCAAGATGTTTAAAGAACTGTTTCTGTGTTTTTATGTTTTAGCTCAGTGGGTCCCAACATTCTGGCTTGTGACCACATATGAGACTGATTCTTCCTTTTCAGATTAAAGAATTATACAGGCCTGAAGAGGTAAAAACATTTTTCTTTTCTTTTTTTGTACAATTAATCATCTTATGGCACTTCAGATCAATCTGGGGAGCTCTTCTGACCTCCATGTTGGGATTCTCTGACTCTTAACATGTAGGAGGATGATCTGCAGTTTGCATTTATTAACCACTTAGTTAAAGTTTGTAAGGACCATGGCACGATCCTTTAAATTGAGTTTATTTATATAAAAATTTAATTTACTTGAACAGAACCAGACATAACATGAGACATTTAAACTTTTGTTTCTGAATTAAACCTACTGACAACATAAGTGTGTGAGATGAAGGGATATTAGGGAAATATTTTTTATTACTTTTAGTAAATATGACAAAAGAAGAAACTCATAGAAACAGGCATTTCTGATCCTAGCTATGTTGTTTTTTGGTCAGAGTTTGTAATGAACACCACATAAAAAGAAGTGCATCACTCATGTTCCTTTTTAAAGTGAGTTTATTCAATCAAACATCCATGCTGGTATAGCTGACGTGTGTATTGAAACAGATTGTTATTTGCATGGGGTCATGTCTAAATGATGCTGGTACAAGTTCTTCAGCTTTTTCACAGCTTACAATGGATCTGAATAAAAATATTGTTCTTCAGTTAGAGAAAGCTGTATGTCATTTCAAAAGTACACCCCCTTCACCCCATCCCAAAATCTTAAAAAAAAAAAATCTTTTAAATAAGGCAGGTACTTCGGGTTGAGTTCTCACTAAAGGGTGTAGCTAGTAACATCAACGCTAAAATCAACACGGCAGCAAAACTGACATGCTCAATGTTCATTCAAACAGCTGCAGGCAACACATCGTGACAACATCCATGAGGCACACTGTTGACTCAGTAACCGATTTTCAGTGTTGAAGTAATTCTGGTAACTTCTCATTCAACCTTTCAATGGTAAAAAAAAAAAAAACTCTTTGAACCCTGAAGCACTGACTGTCCATTGGTTGCTCTCTTCTTGCTAATCTATAAAGAGATGAGAAGAAAATTACATCACATACAGAAAAATCAACGACAAAAATGGCAGCAGCCTTTACCTCTTAAGTTATGCAGAGCCACGTGAACAGGAACATCGAACATAAAGTAACAAACTCAGAGCAAAGAGACCGTTTAAAAATATTTTTAACCTTCTGAGTAAACCACCACGGAATAAGTGGCCTGACAGCAGTTTTTCCAGCACAGGAAACTGTCATATACTCCAAACCCTCAAAAATCTGTTTTGAAGCCTATTTAATTGGAAATTTTAGGGAAATAGTGGAAAGAAAAAGGATAAGAATTATGTCTTAAGACATTTTGCAAAGTACAATTATAAATATCAGAACAGTTTCACGCATTTAGCTGCACAACACACTAAAAAAAATAACCTACAGTATATTTTTCAGACACACAAAATACAGTACCATTACAAAAAACAAAATCGAGAGAAGTCAATAAAAACGGACCTGGAAAAACAGGAAAAGCTCACATTTCAAACTGATGCGGTTACTGATACAGGCTTTTGTTGATTCAGCCACTGAACTCCGACTGCATGCTGTTGTAAATTACTCCTTAAGACCCTTTGAGTGTTGTGCTCAATTCAATTGGTTTTATTTAACTGAGAGTCTGATTAAGAACACATTTAACATCCTACAGCAGGTGAGTGGACGGGTGGTTACCCATACATATGTTCATAAATGCTTACAACCACAGTGTTGTACTTCTGCAGTTTTACAGAGACAGCTTATTTTCTGCTTTGCAACAGGGTACATAAAGTAGTAAGTGATAATTTTTCTGCAAGTGATCTGAGTGGCAATGACTAAATAAAAGAAAAAAAAAACCCAAAACTAACCTTGGCTGTTTAAAACGTAACTTAACTGAGAACATGTACACTTCAAAAGGAAATAAGCCATCTCTACACTATAAAAATGTCTCTAGACAGAAATACTGACCAATTTCAAAATTTTTAGTACAAACAAAAGTCAAATTTACTTGGCTATGGTTTAATTTGTGTTTATTTTGTGTTTGTGATTTTCCGAGCCTTTGGTACTTAAACTCTCACCGACCTGCTTGTGCACTGAGCACATCTTCTTTACTTAATTTAACTACAGTTACTTTTTGCCCCTTATTCAGCAGCCTTGCTAAATGGACGGCACACCACTGACATGCAATGAATGTATCAGTTAATATAACCAAATAACACGCTGTTTGAGTGTTTGGCTATTAAAAACACCAGCTCTAGAAACAGGTTTATAATGTGAAAACAGCTCACATCCTTTGTTTAAAAATAAGAAATAAAGAAAGAATGTACACTATGTACCGCAACCCATCTGTTTTGAAACCTGGGCTAACTGACCTTTTAAGGACCCTTTTGTTTGTTTAAGAACCGAAAAATTGTGCTTCATTGATGCAATACATTCTTCATCAAAAACCATTTAAACCCACACTGTCTGAACAAACTCAGTGACATCTACACTACTTATGAGGAAAATACTTTGGATCGGCCCTCCCAAACCCCAAACTCACACTACAGGAATAAATATGATCTGGCTTTAAATGTACAGGTAACTATATATTTTTAACAAAAACATGTATATCAATGCACCGGTTGGATGAGTCCTTCCTTTTTGTGTTATGTGTTATTTGACAGTGTTTGTGTTTCTATGTGTGTGAAAATGTTGTTTGTGATTTAAAAGTTTGGATATTTTTCTCCAGAACCGTTTAGGGGGAAAAAAAAAATCTCTTTATATGTCAGCTATCAAAGAAACCCCTTCTCAGCATTTCTAATTCTACTGAGGCTCCAACAAAGCCAGCAGAGACACTTCAGAACACAATGATATGAGAACAGATGGGAATAATAATCGTTTGGACAGGATTAACAAAATTAGAAAAGTTGCTAATTATATCTAGCCATGTTTACTTGCTGATTATCATTTACATTACTTCCATGTCAGTGAAATTAAATGACACGCCCGGCCCTTGTAACAAAGTGTCTGATGAGGAAGAGCTAAACAAAATTCACAAATGTCAAGGCATCCTCTTGAATGTCAAATTGGTTTGTTTTAAATGTGAGTGTTCATGTCAGGAGCATTGTACTGTATGAGTATCTCAGGCATAGCATGACTTCACATTCAGGATGTTGATGATTTAAGAGTTTTCACCTCCAGGTGAACTGAGAATGTTCTTGATGACACAAGTGCCGGGTGAACCGCCTCCCGGTCACCAGGTTGGTTTTACGGTTGTAGTTCTCATTGTCTAGCTTGGGCTACCTGTATGTCCAGGTAAGGAATAGGCAGAGGTCGCTGAAAACCTCTCAATCAGTATTTTGTGTAGCAGCCATGAAGAGACCTGCTACTGAAGGACGAGGCCAACCTGAAACAGAGATTCACCTGTTAGCTAATTCAGTTAACTGAACTAGCTAAATGACAGAACTAATGTTATCTTGCTAATATTATGACTGAGGAGTAAAAGCTGTAATGATGTTGAAAAATGAGAGCTGACACTGTGATTCCAATATACCTCAAATTACAAAACATCATGACAAGGATAATAATGGACTAAACATCCAAATGCTGTGGGTTAGGTTAGCTTATTCAGATATTTCTCTCTTACTCATAACACAAAGATTTCTACATGTATACATATATACATAAAACACAGCCATTCCTACATTAACAAATGTTTGGTGGTTAAGTTTAATATGACATTTGGCCTCCTAACAATGTTACTTTTGAGGGTTAAATTACAGCTTTTAAAGTCACAGTCATAGTAATAGCAGCAGATTTACGTATTGCTACATGCTTTACTAGCCAAGGCATTTAACACACATCAAGTTTTAATGGTGCAACCTGATTTAGTAGAATTAAAGATATGCACGCTTCCTTATACATTACTATTAAATCAATACCCTTGATATAGTTATTTTTCTTCAGTTTATGAAGCATGATTTCTCACAACTGAGCCTTTGTGGACTGAAAAGCAAACTTAACCTCTTTTTATACAATATTATAAATGAACTTGATTATAGCATTTTAGCCCACTTAATTTTATTGTGCAACATGCATAGGCTGTGGCGTAACAAACAGTAGCTTCATATAAAACTGAAATGTTAACTACTGCAAACCTCCACTACTACATTATTTATGCTAAATAACCTCATCTGTCATCAACAATGCTGACCGATCGCTGATGTGGTGACAATCATTTTCTAAGACAAACCATGCTGCTGACCTTATCAGGGTCCATAGGGGGACACTTCCAGTTGTAGAGGTAATACTGCAGATTTCCATCTCCTATGCCAAACTTGAGCTTCTCCAGGAACATCTTATTCTCCATTAGATCCAAGGCATTGAACACATCAAAACCTTTCTGTTAAACGCACAGAATAAGACATCACAAACTGAATGTCATAGTGAATTACACATCAGCATGAAAATAACCTAAATCTTGGTCAGAGGTTTACTCTGAGGACTATTTACATTTCTTGGTAGTGGAACGTGTTTCACAACAAGACAGTAACATTACCAGTTTAGCCAGGATCAGTGCATCATTCATTAAGTCCAGTAGCGGGGTTTGTGTGTGAACGTTGTAAAAAGAATAAGCAGCCTTCAGGCTCCTATGGAGAGGGTGATGCATCACAGTCGAGGGCAGAGTGTAGAAACTAGTGAAGTCTGTCAGTACACCACCAGCACCCTGAGAAGAGAGAAAGACACATCAGCTGTTGAGTCAACTGACAAACACGGAGTTAATTTGAGGATAGAACCTGATATCACATACCTCTACTACATATGTGTCAATTATGTTGTCCTGTGGCAAAAACCAGTGAGCCACCTCCTCTTCTCCCATAGAAGGTGCAAGTTGGAAACGTTTCAGGTATTTCTGTAGCAGCTCAGTGACCTGGCGGACATCACGCCTCTCCATCAGCCGCAGACCTGGAGTCTTGGTGCTCTGTATGAGGTGTGGAGAGTGAGACAAAAAAATCGATTTAAGTTCCGGCCATTTATAAGTATTGTAAAGAGAAATCCCAGAGTGGCAGGTGTTATGTGTTTACATCTGGTAGTCTGTAGAGTTTCATGGTTCTTTGCAGGGTCATGTTTCTGCTCAGGTGGGAGAATTTAACTTCCACAAGCTTTCTGGGGTTCAAAGAACGATGCCAATATCTGAACAGGAGAAACAGTGGAGAAGAAAAACAAACAGAGAAAAAGCATTAGGGAGTATTGGTTTTAAATTACTTTCTGACACCATGTTCTGTGTGTTTCATGTCTGAATACTGCATGGGTATACCTGCATGTGGACACAGGTTTAGGCAGTACTACCCCTGCTGTGTATACTGCCTGAAATATTCCTTCTAAGTTCACCCTCCGTGTGATCTCTCTGATTAGCACAGGAGCTACACGTTTTGAACGCAGCTTCTTATGGACACACAGGAAGTTGATTTCTACCATCCTCTTCAGCCTAGACCAACAAAGAGAAACAAGATTGATTGTGCATTAGTGTAAAAGGGTTTCCATTAACTCTTTCAATGAACAGTTCTCCAAAATGTATACAATCAGCTGTGAGTGCTCACGTGTCATAGATGCGTATATCTGCAGGGATGGCACTGATGAAGCCAACAAGCTTTTTATTTGAGGAAACTCTCACTCCACAATGCCACTGTGGTAACCAGCCAGGTGGACGCAGAGCCCTGAGAGGGGAGGACATTCTTAGTCGGAGGGCAGACAGTTGAATATTGTATATATTTATATCTATCTATTTAGTGGGCAGTTGATTAGAACAACTGAACTCAGAACCATGAGCTTACCATTTGAGAAAGCTTGGTGAATAATCAAATCTGAACATGTTATCATCGTCCTCCACATAGTTTTCATTTAACAGAGTGTACAGCTCCTTCAGCTGAAAAAGACACAGCCAGTTATTCATTTCTACAAAATATATTTATTGTTTTAGGTGTATGAGACAAACACTGTACTCACTACATCTGCATTGCTGAGATCCAGAGTGTCCCACATAAAGCCTTGAGGTAAGGAATATGGCTCCTGTCTGATGTTTTCTTTGTCAGCTTCAATCGGCCCATGACTTGTCACAACTTCATCTGCAAAAATAGCACAGAAAGATGTGAAACTATTTTCCCAATCACCACATTTACAGCAGACCTGTAAATTTCCTGTTCTTGCATTTTGCTTAGGTAGCACTGATCCCAGGCCAACACCAGACTAAAGCATCTTTTTAAAATAGAAAACCCACAAATCTGCTGAGAGCATCAATCAGACATTTATGAAATCTACTTCTATTGGTCTCATATTGACCAGGCTAGTTCAGGGCATTCTCCTGCAAAGACATGATTCTTTGGCCAACAATTGTCATGGTAACGGCTCAACATAATGCCACTAAGCATGCCTGGTGAGTATGCCGGACCCCTACTGTAGTTCACAGCTGACAGGGTTCTGGGACACTGGGTTCAAGCAGCAAATACTATGAAAATCTAAAACCAGTAGAGGGCAGTGGTGCATAGAGACACTGTTAAAGATTATATATAACCATCTCTTGACAGCTGACATAATTGTGTTTGAGCTATGGATACAAAGTTTAATCAATTTCGGTATTCACCTGTTTGCCAAGCAATAACAATAACTTATGAGGTACCAAATGGATGATTCAAACATTAAGTAAACAATGTTGTTTCATTGCTCTTGCAGTACTTACTTAGCTTCGGCACAGGCTGAGTGTCCCAAAACTGGTACTTGTGCTTGGCTGCCTCATCAATGCTCTTTGCAGGACCTTGGCAGGACAGCAGCTCCATGGCTCTTTGGATGTCCTGCAACTTCTGAATGGGTAAGCCAGGGTTCTGCATACAGAAAAAAGGGGTAGATACGCATGAGGAAAATGACAGTAAGTGGCCCATAAGTTTGAAGATAATGAAAATGAGTGTGTGATATGATATGCATCATAAGACATGTATATCTATCATCTGGCTAAAAAAAAGAATGTCTTACATCATTCAAATGTGGTCAAATACAAACAACAGAGGGCATGTGTGAAATATATATCCCTAAAACAAAGCTTATCCTGGTTTTGATCTTGTTCTTAGGACATGACATTTACACTGACATGGGAAACCTGGTTATTTGTGTCCTTGTATACATGACTGTAATAATAACCAAGTTTGTGACAGTGGAGTCTTTGTTTTGTTTTTTTATTTGTAGTGTTATTAGAGGGCTATAGTGGTGCATGTTTCTATTTGCTATTTGTGCCGCTCGCTCTCCAGTCTTTAATTTATGAATCAAACCTGAATTGGTGTGTCTGGGTCTTTGAAGATGGGAGCACCAATTTACATTTTACAGTCAGACTTACAATTTCAGTGTGCAAATCGCCATACATTGTTTATAATCATGTTTTTTTGTTTTTGTTTTACTAACTATTAAAAGGTAATTCAAGCTGATGAATCACACATAGGACAGTCATGTGGACAGACCTGGATAAAGTGTAGCACTCAAGGTAGCATACAGTATTCATGTTTCTCAAAACTGGGATACGGCTTTATCCTGGTCTCTAAAAATCAGGATACGATGTGTACAAAACAACTGGGATAGTGATATCCATAGAAATGTGCTGTGTTTCATGGTTGCTTTGACTAGTGGCCACTACCATCTAAGAGTTGGCTTTGTAACTCTAGGGTTACTGTAGGCCACACACATGAGTCCAAGCCAAGGGTGAACCTTATTAACCCATTCACACTGATGGCAAACAAACAGGTTTTTCTTGGGTTGTGGACTATATGCTTCAGGACTATTATGCTTTTCCCCTCACCTACTCCTAGTATCCCATCTACCATCAATCTGGCAAATGATTCCACCAGGTCAGTGGGTGATGGTTTTGGATTTTAGCCCCTGTCCTTAAAGTGTGCGTGCATATTTCACTTAGGTCATCATCGCACCTTGATCTCCTGAGAGTCGGAGGCAGAGTCAGACTTGGCTCCCCCCGAGCTTGGCTTCTCTTTCTTCCTCTTCTGCTTCTTCTTCTTCCTCTTGGCCCCCAAATCTCCCCCTGGACTCCTACAGATATGAGGACAAACGCACAGGATATCGTTGAACGGGGGCTGACTTTGTTTTGACTCCAAACACACACACCCAAAGCAGCACAGAGCTAACGTTAGCTACCATAGCAACGAATGACAGCTGAGCTAGCTTAACGTTAGCCAACTAACGGTACGTGTTAACCGTTGGCTGTCATCATGTCATTCAGCCACGAAGCTAGCTGTATTTATACGTTAAGGTACACACGGTTAAAAAGCCCAAAATGACAATGCCAAACACGTTGCAAATCAACATTTTTCCTAGCTTGAAATGACGGCCTTGTGGCAAAAAGCCTGGCTGTGTTAGTGTCGGCTAACGTCGGCTAACTGCGCTAGCCATCCCCGACCGAGCACACACATAAACAGGCAGCGCACAAACAGGCTGCCTGAAATAACGTTACTGCGTTTCCCAGCCGGACCGGACAGGCCATCCTTACCCCTGCATATGCTCATTCTCCTCTTCGTTGTCTCCGTCTATCCCACAGGTGTCCTGGTCGTCCAGCTCCAGGCTCTGCTGACTAGCCGCGGATTCACTGTCCTCCGCCATCATAAAAATGTTTTTAAAAAAATAGTCAGCCGCCGTATGATAGAGATCACGGGCAACGGGCGAGAGATGGAAAAAACAAAGAAAATGCCTAAGGAAACCACACCACCTAGAGGCCAAAGGAGGGCGAACACTCCTACCTTATAGCATGAAATACAGACAAGTGGTACCTATGGTTATCTCTTTTTATGATAGAAGATCTCTCTCTGCTTAACTTTAATATATAAATATATATATGCGTGTTATATAAAATCTGGAGTTTGCTATAAAATTTGCACTACCTCCCAGCATGAATGGATTATGCATTAATGGGCACCAGGGCACAGGCATGTATAAGTTTGCAGTTGTTTTGTGTTTCTTTATGGTCGATTTGTCTGTAGACTTATGCCTCTCTTTGTTGTTGTTTTGTGTCTCATGGTTGTTTTGCATCTCTGTGTAGTCTTTTTGCCTGTAGGCCCCTTCAGTAATCCATTTATGCCTACAGCTTCCATGCAGTGTATGGACACTGTTGCCCATATCATTTAAAAAGCATGGCCATTACATTAAGGTATTTGGACTGAAGACAGAAATGTTTAGATGTTACATATTGCAAGCATTCAGTCTGGAAAGGTTCCTATAGAGAAGACACAATCATAATAAAAAGGTGTCTGTGGTTGAATGTGAACTTATCAACGACCTGTCGTGAAAAACTGGGGAAGTAAATTCTCAGGCTGCAAATTACTTTTTACACATTTGTTCAAGTATACACACAGAGACAGACACACACAAATCCTTCCAGTTTGGCTGTTTATTCAGAATAATAGGCTTCAAATATAATGCAAGCAACCAATTTACACAATCAGGGTGCTGTACTGTAACTCCACCCTCCAAGTAGAGGTTGCTGTGGGATACTAAGAGAGAAGCGGTCATTCACAACACCAACTCACACAACATTTTGACCAGGTAGAGGAAAGGAAAGAACTATACACACTCCATAATGTGATTGCTATGACTAAATGATCCTTGAGTGGATGTATGTTGATTATTTCTCAGCACTCTCACGTGGACACAGTCTGACAACACAAACTCACAGCCAGCAGCGTCGCATATGGACACTACCACCACCCAGGTGCACATAAGCCATTTGAGATAAACATTCACCCTCAAAAAATACAAAAATAAAGAAAATGCACTGAAATGACCTGCAGTTTAGCTTCACATACAATCGCACTTAGCTTTATGTATCCTGTGCTACACTGAAAACTTCTGCAATTCCTTAACTGCTTACTCTAAGAGGTTGGTGCCTTGTCGATTGCTGTAGAGGATTTTACGATTGCAGCAGCTGGTAGACATTTTCTGACATGTCTGCAGTGTAGCTTGTAGTGCTGAGGAAAGTTTACTGCATGCTTTCTTTCACATGTGGGAGAGAAAGGGAGGGCTGAGGTAGAAGAGGAAAGCTGAAGGCAAAAGAAGGTGAGAAATAAATAAGGTAATCTGTTCCACAAATTTGTTGTAGAGTCAGATTGTTCAAAGGCACTTGGAACATCTGGAAATGGTAAAGATTAAGGTTAAACAGCAAGCACAAACAGTTTGGTTTCAGGTAAAAGGTGTGTACTAGAATGCGTGTTTGTTATTGTAGCTCTAACAATAAGGCGGGTGAAGAATAAAAGCCCTTAACATATTTGAAGATAAAACAAAAACAAAAGAGCCTATTTTCAGATAAAATACTTCATGTTGGCAATTAAAATTATAGTGATTAAAATTACAAAAAAAGGCATCTCAAGCAGACATATAAAAGTGATGCATAGCCTTCAGAGCAAAAATATGCCGGTCAGTGGTTCAACAATTACAAAACCCTTCATATTATTACACCTCACAATTTTGGGTAGAACTACAGTTTCGTAGTGGTACTATATCCTTACCCACCAGCATAGTGGTGTGTCACATTATCTGATTACGCTGTAGAGCGGATAGTGGTTTCATTTCTTCAGTCGACAAACTTCACCCCCCTGTGGAGTTCATGTAAACACCCATACAGCTTTCAGCTTTCTGATGAGCTAGATTAAGTTCTAGCAAGATACTCCAAACCATTCAAAGTACAGGATTTACATGTTTATATCGGTGATTGTTGTGCAAGTGCATCCAACAACACCTGTCGTACTGCTCTCTCTAAACCCAGGAACACATCAAAAGACTTTTAATTTCCAAACCAATTGTGAAAAGCTGCTCCACAGTCTTCAAAAATCAGTCAGAATGGCTAAATTTGTGTTAAAATCTTGCTTTCAGTGAGTGTAGTGTGTTCCCGGCTTTTGCCAGTTGATTGAGGCCAATATGGCTCAAGAAAAAAAGGTTCCTGTAGTCTTTCATTTGTGAGAACCACCCATCATCTGTTTCTACTACAGTTCATTTACACTCACAAGGCTATTTATACAAAAGGCATATATTTGTTGTGCATAAAATATTCTCATTTCTTGCCACCAAAGTCTATTTGTCTCCCTCATGATGTGTACACCATGCCTGATGAGTGGTCTGTTTGTGTAGTGTGTCGTGAGGATGACAAAGTGGACAGTGGTCATTTGATGAAGGGGAGCTGGAAGTTCATGAAGGTTTTGAGCCATCCCCTCACGTTCAGGACTAGAAGGGATCCCCAGTGCTGAAATATTTTCTCAGTGCTATATTAAGAACAAAGGGCTTCGATTTAAATGGTCACATCCTTCACGTTATGATCTGGGCAGAGGGGGAGTCGTGGTTAAAGGGTAGGTTCACATTTTCTCTAAGTCTATCTCAAAACAAATCTGACATACCCATATGTACAATTAAACAGTTTCTCCTGTCCATAGTGGTCTTGAAGAGATTCCCTCCTAAAGCGATTACTGCTTCTTTTTTGCCATCTACCCACGGATTTACAGACAATTATCACTGGATTAGTTTGAGACTGAAGAGAATTTTAAAACTTGATGATTCTGTGGCAAGTTCTGGACCTACAAGAAGGATGTTTTTCGTGATGGACATCAGCGACAATGTTAATGGGAAGTGTTAAGTATTTGTATCATGCTTGTGAGAAGGAGGAAATATTTTACTTATTTATCTAATGCAGTATCTTTGCCTCACGTCTCTCCCTCTGCGCTTCCCTTTCAAATGTTCCCTGCCTTCCTCACAGTTTGAAATTGAATATATTTAGAGTATGGTCCTGGTTTTTACTTTTAGTCATTAGATAGGATTTTAGTTATTTGTTTTTATTACTCTACTTTTTGTTTTTGATTCACATGCGACTTGAAACAGTAGTTTCATATTGCGAATAATAAAATGCTAAAATAAAAAAAAAATAAAATACATTTTTGCAGAGATTTCTTCAGGGCCAGTATGGACAGGAGGAACAATTACAGCAACTAGAAGCACTTTCAATGCACATATGGGAAATTGGTATTATATTAAGAACTTAAAAAATGTGAACCTATCCTTTAAGGGTCCGTCTGTGGATCATTTCAGGTTGAAGGCCAGCAGGGGTCGCTCCTCTCTCCTCTGCCAGGGACTCTTCTTCTCCTCCTCTGCGTCCTCCTGTGCTGCATCGTCATCTGGAGAGACTGACAGTAGCGCATGATCAGTCCTGAAAGTCACTCCTTCTGGTGTCGGCAGGGGAGGAGGAGAGGCAGGGGATGAAGAAGAAAGTGACGGGGGTTCCTCTTGTATTCGTACCCCCTCTACTCTTTTCCCCTCAAGATCCCCCTGCCCCTGATCCTCTGCTTTGTCTGACAGGATGGGTCCTGTTTTGCTGTCCTGAGGGCTGCGCTTGGCCTCCTCCTCCTCACTGCCTCCCCGATCCAGATCATCCACATACACCAGCTGAGTGTAGGCCATGGCTGATGTTGTGCCCTTTGACCTGTCTTTCTCAATTTCTCTTTCTTCCCGCTCTGCGTCTCTCCCCCTGCGCCCGACTCTCGGCTCATTCAGGTCCACGCCAGAGTCCAGACTGGCATCGTTGCCATTGCCATGCCTCCCGCCGCTGCCATTACCTTGCTGACCTCCTGCACCTGGTGTGTTACTTTGGCACCCTGCCCGCTGGAGGTCGATGTAGGAGTGGCGAATGTGAGCGTTAGAGCGTCCATCCAGCGAGACAAACCAGGCTCGTGGGTGAGGAAGAGGCTTCCCTCCTCTGAGCTCCATTAAAGTCTTTTCAGCCAACAAGGTGTCCTCACTGTTTATTTCCACTAAACCTGTTTCCCCAAGAGCTGCAGGAATAGACAGAGACTCTGACAGGCCGAGCCCCTCTGCATCACTCTGCTTGGTGGGACCTGGGGAGCAGTCTGTAGGGGTTTGCCCCAGGGGCTGCTGGGAATGGGAGGCATTGAGCTCAGCCTGGATGGTCTCCAGGTCACTCTGTTGGTCAGTCTGCAGCAGGAGGGCCTGACCAGAAAGAGGGTGCTCCCCGGGCAGGCGCATGTAGTGTGCTGGGATCACCAGTGTGGGGCGCACCCTTGGGTAGCCTTCTCCCCCACTCAGCAGGTCCACAGATCCACAGCAGAGCAGCTGGCCCGGCCGGGAGAGTGACGGGGGACTAGGGCGCTCCAGGTGGTCCACAGAGCGGGACAGAAGGTAGTCGGGAACCCTGCATTCGCTTCCCTCCCCTCTACTGGGGGAGTGAGGAGGAGAGGAAGGGGAAATGCAATCAACAATCCCAACACTGCTCAGCTGGTTAGCTGACATCTGACCATGATTGGCTGATGACAGTGCATCTGAAATGTGGTTGCTGGATGAGCAGACTGAGGTGTATGATTGACGGTAGCCCCGGTCTGTTCCGGATGAAAGAGTAGCCTTTAATTGGAACGTCTCCACAGACTGCCGATAGTCTCTGCTGCGAGGCGTCAGATTGCCAAGAGATGAGCCGTGGTGGCTGTTGTTGCCGAGAGAGGAGCGGCTGTGTTTGCTGTGATGGATTAGGCTGTGTTGACGCTGATTGTCTTGGTGCTCATATGACGAAGGCTTCAGCATCGGTGTGGTCATGTCAGGCTCAGTTGCTGTGGAAACAAGTTCCAGCTGCACCTTAAGAAAACAAAAAAAAATTAAGAAACTTTTCAAATATTTTCACATAAAGCAAGATGCAAGAGACTCAAACCAAGGAAAGAGTTGTAATTTAATCACAGGAAAAAAACAGAGAGAGACAAGTAGACAGACAGTAGTTTGAGAAATTCATCTGTGTTTTTTCTGCCAACCACATGCTAGTGAAACACCAGTGTCTGCTTCAGATGGACACATGCTTGCCAAAATAGGGATCTTGAACCAAGCTGCCCAGGTCTTAATTCTAAAGTCAAATACTTCCTCTATTTGATATTTTCATTACAGGCTAGCGACTGAACTGTTCTCTGAATGTCAGACAGACCTCGTTGTTGATGAGGTTCAGGTGGGACATGGAGGTGGCTTGGTCCCTCTTACTGCTGTCCAGACCGGAGGACAATGTGAGCTTACGGTGAGACCCTCGAGGCTTCAGACAACGACGCCTGCACAGACAAACAGCAGAGGTTATGAATCAATCAGAACAACCAGTTTGACTTTGAGCTTCATCGATAAACAAACATTTTAAAAACTAACAAAAAACCTGTTTAAAATTTTGTTTGGATCAACCACTAAGACTGGGTGACAAACTTCCTTGAGCACTTATATTTGCAGTATAGAACTGGTACCTGACTAGTAAAGTACTAGTCTGCTTTCTTTACATATAGGTAACCCAAAATCTGCGTTACACCATTTGTGCTGCAACTGAGACATAGCATGACCTGCTACAGACAACTTTTATTTCCAGGGGAACATTGATCTATTTGGTATCGATATCAAAACTGAAGAACTGATAATGCATGAAAAGAATGAGCCTATGGCAGAGGAAGATAATGAACCCTTTAAACCTGTTCATCATGTTAATGTTACTAGGCAGACAACAGTATCAGAGATGGGGCTAGATGATCTTCTGTAGGTTACGAGGCTAAATGCTGACAATAGGACAGGATATTTTCAGATATGATACTGGACCATGGAATGATGCGAAAGGCGGTCGCTTAGCAAGACGAAATCAATCAAAAATCAAAATAATCAAAACAAACTCATGTGTCTATCTTTGTTTTAGCTAATGTTGTATAAGAGCAATACTCTGCTCTAGTTATTCATAGAACAGATACTGCTGCTAATGTGATGACTTTTCCTGTGCAGTTGCACGGTACTTCATTGGACACTATCAAGAAGAAACATACAGTATGAAGCCTAAAATAAAGCCTAGTACATTTACAATTTCCACATAACTAGTCATAAGAACTGACTCATATTATGGTATAGTCCTGACACTGTCAAAATAGTCCATTTCCTCAATGTGGAGGTAAGTGTGGCAAGCTCTGCCTAAAAATAAGTTGCATCTTAAGACAGTCAAATCGTTTCACAAACCTGCAGTAGTACAACAGGAGGCAGAGCAGGCAGAGCAGGATGAGAGCCATGCCTCCCAGTATGGCCAACAGAAACACAGTGTGGTATGTGCTGATATCCTTCGCAACCACTGGACCTGTTGGAAGGACAAGAGGTGAGGAAAACTATCTACAGCTTTCTCCAAGAATATGTACATACAGTTTGTGTCGTTGTGAGCGCATATCTGACGTGCCATTTACAGTAAACGAAGTATAAACAATCACTATCAAAGTAGTATCTCACCTGAGTGTAGTGGGGACATGGCGGCCACCCAGTATCCCAGCTGAGGAGCAATGTAGGTCAGACTGAGCTGGTTGCCCTCCATCTGCACATGACCCCAACTGCTCTTTATCCAGGCGCCTGTACACACACGCACAATCACAGAGCCTCAAATCGAATTTCTCAACAATTTTTGTCTATTACAACCACCTTCACAGTGGGCATTAGTGACAATTGTCATGACCTGCAGCAACATCCCACCTGACTCTTATTAACTCAGTCATGATAAAGCAGCACTCCACTTAGCTGCATTTAGATATGTGCCAAGTGTAAATCATTTATTTTAAGGCCAAACAATTTGATTATGTGCCAGAAGTAAACTCCACTAACAGGGTCTCTGCACGGTTAGTTGAATTTAAGACTTTTAAAAAGACCTTTTTAATACCACACAGAATGCAGTTTAATACCAGTTTTACTATTGTGCCAAACACATTATGAAAATATGATGGAAAAATAGTAGGGATGATATGGCCAAGAATTATTATTATATCACATTTTTCAGCAGTTCACTTGACAAGAAGACAACCTTTGGAAGTTACTCGATAACTACTTTATTGGAGATCTCCATGTTTCATGTATAACGTCATCAACATCACATCTTGATTCTTCACAATAAGAGCTCCCACTTCCTCCAAATTATTCCGGGCACCCATTATAATATATGCACTCTTATACAGGCAGTTATTTCACTGGCCAACTAAATATAATGCAACCAGTATGCACATTAATATCTGGAACTTAACAACCAGCAGTATATAACATTAATACCTCAATATAATTAATCAAATTAATTCAACATAGATCCAAATAAGCAACATAAATGAATCGATAATTTCATCCATATCAAGTTAATTAAGATTTTGCTAAAATTGACACTTGTCCATTATAAGCCAATGAGCTTCCAATCAACAGTGATTGTTACATATCTGATAGCGCTGATTAAAACTCAAAAAAAAGCAAAAACCCCAATCCCAGTTTCAGTTTATAATGTCTCCCAACAGCCCACAATTGGATACAAAAACATTATATAACTATCGTTATAGCCTTCAGCAGGCAAGAGAAAATATTTAGGACTTCTAATACCTTCTGTGGGCTTTTTTTTTCTGAGGAACTGAACTCAATGCTTTTTATGCCTTTTCAAGACCTCCAGATAACCTGATTCAAGCACTAGGCAGGGGAGGAGAGTGTTTTTGCAGTACCTCCCCACTGGGAGGCAGCATGCTCAGTCAAATATGAGTGGGAGTCTATGAATAGGCGCACAATAGCAGCTTCAACCATGCCAGTACCCAAAACCACAACAAAGCAAAAGGCACTGATTGATTGGCTCACATTAAATCTGCTCCAAGAGGAAACATTCAGTTGGGCCTTTACACTTCCCCTCCTCTCAGGGTCTCAGGGCTACCATGGTGAGAGCTACTTTGTTACTATGTTTATTTGCAGTTATCAACATTGAGCTGTCAGGAATCTGCATCGATCTTCAAGAGGAAACGAAACAAGAAGGAGAGGACACTCAAAGAAGAAAGACAAATGTAAAAGAGATGGTTAGGAGAAAAAACAAGGAAACAAGAGCAGACATATGGGAGGAATGGAGGGAGAGATAAGGGAAAAGGCACGAGAAACAAGAGGCAGAGAGAAATGAGAGAAGCTGTGTGACTCAGCACCTCTCTCTCTCTCTCTCTCTCTCTCTCACACACACGCACGCACGCACGCACGCACGCACGCACGCACGCACGCACGCACGCACGCACGCACGCACGCACGCACACACGCACACACCACTTGCACAACTTGCACACTTGTAGCCTAACACCAGCCTGTAGCAGCCAGTATTTCCACAACAGAAGCCATCCCGGACCCTCTCCGGCTACATCTCGTGTTTCCTTAGCAACAACCCACCAAATAAGTAAGACAACAGAAAGGCCCCTCCTGATTGAGTTTCTTCACTGAGTGGTTTAGTGTGTGAAATGCATGTGTGCGCGCGTGTGAGTTAAACTGAGGATAAAAACACTCTCAGACAAAAGAACTTTGAAATCTGTCTGGTGCCTTTTGGAAGAATACTTTAGGCTAAATAAAGCTCCTCACGATGAAGCCAGTTTTGTTTACAGTGTGCGCACATGGACAGAGCGCGCAGCACACACACACACACACACACACACACACACACACACACACACACACACAACAAAAACCTGTTTCTCTTGTATAACTGACAACCTCTCATGTATTGTTAGACATCAAGGGAGCATGAGATAAAATGATGTCACATACAGGACAGATCAAGTTCATCTGTTTGTGTGTGTATGTGTGTTATTCATAAACAGAAAACACCCTCATCCTGGAGGAAGTGTGATGATGCAAATAAGGAAAGACCCAACTAATATCTGTGAATTACGAAAGCTGAACAAAAACAGACCTGCTGTCAGCTGTGTTGACTTTGCCATGAATGGGCGAGAAGCAGAAGTTAATTGCAAACTGCATTGACATTATAAATGTTTGCATTGTGTCTGAGCAGTTGCCAGTCTCTCAGCCGTGTACTGTATGGAAGCGTGGGAACAGAGCCATTAAATATCTTGATTAAACAGGTCAATCACAGAAGAGAGGAGTCCCCTGTGGGAACAACTCGGAGAGAACCAGGGTGAATCCAGGCAGGGCTGGGCACAGGCCTCTGTGTGTGTGTGTGTGTGTGTGTGTGTGTGTGTGTGTGTGTGTGTGTGTGTGTGTGTGTGTGTGTGTGTGTGTGTGTGTGTGTGTTGTGTGTGTGTGTGTGTCGGCGTGT